GTCCTGCAAGGTTTAAGTTGTCTGAGTACCTTGTTTTTATGCAGGGGAGGGGAGTATTAATAATAATTATTTTTTACACAGGGGATTCTGTTTCCTATCTAATGGGAAGGTGACTGCTATCAACACTTTCTAACTTTTCATTAAGAAGCGTAGGTTTTAAGACAATAACAGGAAAGAAAGAACCTATTCTCTCTGTGCCAGCCTCCGTCCAGTTTAGAACAAAATGTTATTCATGGCCAGGCTCCACCTTGCTGAGGAGGGCCGGTGTTTGTCTTTGCGAACACAGTCCCTCTGACAAATCCATGGAAAACCACGTGTTAACAACATGGAGACCCCAGAGAGGTGACTGGCTTAGAAGGAATGTGGCATTTGTACTTGATGGCAGGGGGCTAGTGTGCCTCTCTCAGTCATGGGTTTACCCTTCTCAGATTAATTAAAATAATCTGCACAGAGGATTCATCCCAGCTCTTGGTATTCTGGAGGCCCACACAAAACAGGAGCTGTGGCTATCACCCCATTCCCTGGGATGGACTCCTATTCCCTGGATCCCTGGAGTCTGAATCCCACCAACTCTGGGTCTGGAAGTTGTTCCCAGGCTCTGCCCTGCCTCCAGCTCCTTGGGGATCCTCTGGGAGGGCCCAGTGTTAAACCAGGCTGGGGCAGAGCACAAACAGCCTTGGCTTTGGAGGGGAGGATTTCCCATGCCAACTTTTTATCGGATGGGAAGGGCTGAGTTGAGAGGCAGCAGCAGGGGATAGCACAAATAAATACAGAAAATCCTCTCCAGGGGCCACCATTGTCCTGAGCACAATGGCGGCCCCAGAGAACATTTCATGCCGTTGAGTTTGGAAAGTAAAATAAATGTGGCCATACTATACCCTCCTCCATAGCCCTGGCTGGCTAGGGCCTACCCTCAGCTCTGCAGGAGACAAAGGACACATTTTTTCAGAATCCTGGTCTCAGGTGGGGGAGAAGGAAATTTAGAACGTGGAAGGTCCTCGGGGCTGGGGTCTAGATGCCCTTTGGCCACTGCTCTCCCCAGCCCCCTGTGCTTTCTCAAAGCTGCCAGCCTCTCGCCTCCACCCTTCCTAGTGTTCTTCAGCCTACAATGGGCCACGTCCAGCAGGGCAGGGCTGGTGGACACACCCAGGCAGGCTGCTGGACTCTGCAGGGAAGAGGAGTCCCTTTCCAGCAATGGGCAGGAGGGGCTGAGTGAGACTGGTGGCTTTTTTGAGTTGAGAACATGTCCCCACATACCCTGTGAACTGGCAGCTCTCTTCATCTTTGCAGCCTTCAGGTGCTCTGAAGCCACACAATCAGAAGGATCTTTCTGGAACCAGTGACATCTCTCATTGGAATGAGTCCCAGATCCTCTTCAGGTGGTATTTATAAGCATCCTTGGGGTGGGGCAGGGTCCACCTCACCCAGGAAGCTGGCACCTTCACACACCTCTGGTTCGAGCCATCTGCCACCCTGGCTGGCTATGATGTGTGACACCCAGAAGGCCAGCGTGGTACTAGAGTGACAGGGTTTGAATCCCAGCTCCCCAATAGCAGGCAGATCTTGGATAGGACACTTAGCCTCTCTAGGTCTGTTCCCTTAATTCTAAAATAGAAGCAATGTAAGGAATCAAGAAAGAAATCACATAATACTCTCGGCTCAGGGCCAGGTAAATAGTAGATTCTTATTTCTTGGCAGCCACTTCATTAATAAAAGCTAATGTCTGAGAACTCATTTTGTACCATGCCAGGTCTTGTTCTATGGGAATTCCATAATAACCCTTTGAGGTAGGTATTATTATTTATTCCTTTTATAGAAAGGAAATTAGGGTTTGGGGAAATTAAGCAAGTTGTCATTAGGTAAGCAGCTGCTTATTGGTAGAGCTGGAACTTCAGCCCAAACAGTTTGCTGCTGAACCCTGCACACAGCTGCTGTGTGATCCTCTCAGGTCTCAGTGCTGTTAGTTGGCATACCTTCAGGGATCTCAATCTTTAGACCATTGCAGGGCAAAGAGGGTGCTGTTATTGAAAATGTAAAGAGGAGGTAGGCTTGTTTGAATGCTCAGGTACTATGCAAAGATGGCAGATGGGAAAGCTAAGAAAGAAAAACTCAAATTCTAAATTATTTAAAATATAGTATTAGACCTTGTCCAAGTACCAGAACTCCCCAAGCACCAGTGTCCAAAAGCTTCTAGTAATAAAGCACTTGCCTGCATCTGAACACTCCGTCTTAAACATCATTTGCCTCGATGCCCCATAACATGGCCAGAACAGGTATCCATTCTCAACCTATCTGTTGAAAACACCGAGACTCAGAGAGTTTATGGAGTTTTTCAAGTCTAAGTAACTAATGGCTCTTCATAAAGGTCACTAAAGTTTCTTGAGCAGTTACTATGTGCTGGGTACTATGCCAAGTGATCAACATGTTATAATTTAGCAACAATCTTATGATGGGTATTATTTATCGTCTAGTCTTCAGAGGAGTAAACGGAGGCTTAGGGATACTAGATGACTGGCGCCAACACACGCAGCCAGTAACCTCTGAACATGTTCATAACTGCTCCTTGGTGATAGTAGTGGGGCTCATGGGCAGGCTGAATGGAACTGGCCCTGGGAGGTTTAGAATGGCAGACATAGTCCTTGTCCCCAGAAGGCCACAGGCAGTGGGATTTGAAGTAAAAACTCATGGGATTCTAAAGGAAGAGGCTGGATACTCCCAGCTCTGCTGCTCACTGGCTGAGTGACCAGGCAGGTTTGATTAGCCCCTGAGCTTTGGTTTCGTCACCACATGGTGGAGCTACCATTCTCTGCCTTAGGGGATTGTCCTGAGGGGTATGTTGAGGCTTTGCCTGGGTTAAGGGTTGCCTGGCACTCAACATGGAGATTTCCCTGGAGCCAACTGAACAGCAGAAACACACGCAGAGCTAACAGTACCGGACAACACTTGCCAAGCACAGAACGTGAGGTTCAACCATAAGCATGCAAAGAATTTGCTGGGGCTGGTTGGGCTGGGCCATCAGACAGGCCCAGGGAAAGGGTGTGAATGTGTGTCGTCTTTGATTTAGGGCCAATGGAGCCCCTGGGAAACCCACATGGGTAGCTCCACAGAGCTGATGGGAAACTGTTTTAAAGAATCAACACTGGCCATGACCTCCTTTCCTTGGGGCCCGATCTTCTCTCCTGGCCACCTCCTTGAAGAGTTGGACACTGTATAGAGGAAATGTCACTGGCTAAGCTGAATGGGTGGGGAGAGGCGTGGTCTGCAGTGGTGAGATTCCGGGCAGGGCCTCAGGGGAGGGAAGTGGTAGGTGAGTAAGGGGTTGGTCATGAACATCCTTAGACTCCCATCGAAGGTGGGTGAGCTTTGCTCCGAGGGAGGGGTAGCCATGAAGTGAGGCAGGAGTCAACTGCCAATAAAAAGGTGGCCACCAAAGCCAAATGCCACAGGTACTTATAATAGGACTAAAAACAACTCCTGGCGGAGGGGGTTATGGACCAGTGTTGGTGCAGGTGGAAGCAGAGCCGAGTAGAACAATGTTCCTGGCCTGTCTCTACAGGAATAAACAACCTGAGTCCTGCACCCAGGCAAGGGTCTGTGTGAGTGCGGGTGTGACAGGCCCCTGCACAGACTCCACACACAGGATGAAGGCTATGGCCGAAGCAGGCCATCTTGAGTATGTTCCGGCAAGCTTGAAATCCAATAAACTGAAATCTAGATTTTCTTCATGTCAATTTTGATAATGTGGAGGAATCCAAAGATTTGAAGACGCTTTTCTCCTGGTGCATTTCAGCTTCTTACCAACAAGGCTCACACTCCTGACAACTCACAAGCTGTTGTCCTGCAGCTTCTACAAATTCTCAGTTTTGTCCCAATGACGAAGCTGTCACCGCTGTGTCACAAACAGAACCATGCATTGGTTACATTTTCACAGTGTGATAGATGGACTAAGAATTTTCCCTTCTCTAGTCAGCTTGGTCAATGTCTGGATCATTCAACAAACAGAGCTGGAAAAAATGCGTTGAGCTACCTTCTAACTTATGTGATAGAAATGCATTCCCAGGATTTTGGGTTCATTCTGGTTTTGTTTTGGTTCTTGGAAGTCAGTCAGAATGGTATTTTTTTTTTTTTTTTTTTTGTACCAGGGATGGAATGTAGGGGCACTTCCCACTGAGCCCATCTCCAGCCCATTTATTTATTTATTTATTTTTGAGACAGGGTCTTGCTAAGTTGCTGAGGCTGCCTTTTAACTTGCCACCCTCCTGCCTCAGCCTCCTGAGCCACTGGGATTACAGGTGTACGCCACTGAACCCGGCGAAGGAAACCTGGGAGCAAGAAATGAAAGCACAGAGGCACTTAGGAAGGAAGCACACGGCTTTATTCACGAGCTGTGGTACAGCAGGATGCGGGGTGGAGTGGCGAGGGAGCGTGGAAGTGCTGCTCGCAACAGGAGCATGGAGCAGGTGGGCACTGCGCAGCTCATCAACACGGGACAGGCCGGCCCCCCTCCTGTGCACACAAGCAAGAGGTACTCGGGTGCACACGCACACCCGACTCACTTTCACGGGGAACACAACACGGCATCTCAAGACGTTCCTTCTAAACATCTGCTTTTGTATTTCCGAAAGGAGAGGGAAGACAGGAAGAGCTGATGCCTTTCACCAGTTGATAAAAAGCCACAAACCCAGCTTAAAATGAAGAACCCCGAGAGCCTCTATGCAGGGCCCTCAGTAACACACGGACACAACTCACATTTATCACAAGACTGTATACACGCCAAACCCCCAAAGAACACCAGTCTGTGGACGACTATCTCCCTCCATAAGGGACAGAGACATAGCTAGCCAGGAGGGGGTACGTTTCCACCCCTTCAGAATGGTAATGCCCTATCCTTCCACCTTCCATCAGAGGGCTCAGGAAGTTATTCATGGGCACTCTGCTCTTCCAAGAGGTGTGGGAGAATTCTGTTTGATGATCACAACCACCACTCAGTTATACGAAGCTGCAGAAAACTTTGGATTGAATTTTATTGTGCACACATTCACTGTTCAGAAAGTTTCCATTTAAACTGACAAACCCCCGCTTTCTTTTTGGGTTTACCATCAATTAAACTTGCCCCAATAAAAACATAATAATCTATATGCTGAACACATCCATTACCATCTCTCTCTGCTTACTGGGCAGCAAATGGAAGGATAATGACTTTTTTTTTAATGCCAAAGTATAGCTTTCTCTTTCTCCCATCACAGGGTTGTTGGGGGAATCTACTTAGTGCACATTGTCATTGTTAGATGGTATCATTGCAAATCTCAAGCCCTAAGTGATCTCTTTTTTCTGGAAGGTTCTTCCAAGGGGAGCCTGAAAGAGCAAGTTTAAAGGTACACCAACACTTGGTTCATCAGAAGAAGAATAACTTTAAAATCAAATAAAATCAGGGCTGGCAATATGAAGTACAGATTAAATAGCTACCAGAAATACAAATGAAGTGATTTGTAAATCTGTGCTTGCTTCAGAGGACACAGAAGGGTTGATGGGACAGAGTTCATTCCCTTCCACCATCTTTCAGGACAATCAGAAGCAGGGGTCTGTTAGGGCACAACCTGGAACTGCCGCACGCCCCAGAACACCACACCAAATCTGCTGTACACAATCGTTAGAGAGACTTACTTAGTCGAGAGTGGTTAATTTAAACTCTTTTAAACTTGCAAAAGCACATATATTTTATATCATCATCTCAGAAGCAATTCTTAGGAAAAGATGTCTGCTTCAAAATGTAAAGAGATTAGGTGAGAGTTTTAGAAATGTTACCGGTTGGGCTTTCCCAGGCTGAGATGGAGGAGACCAAGGTTGAAAACAGAACTACAACAGCCTGTGCTTCAGAAGAGGAGCCTCAGCTGGGAGGCCCCAGCTTTCGGGTCAGGGGAGAACAGAGAGTACAGGTAGAAAATCACCCCCATCCCCGCACCTTGTTACTCATTAATTCTAGTTTCTCTCTCTGAGATTTCAGAGAACAGGCAGCTTATGTTTAGTTATTGAAGAAGTCACATTAAAAACATTTAATAACAAACCCCAAACCAAAATGGAGATGCATGGCTAGCTGTATATGTTTCCAAATGCTCTTCAAATCTCCTAATAAATCACACAGGAAGACTTTGTGATGGCCTGAGCTCTCTGGAAGAAATTTTAAAGGAAGCACTGACTCATACTGTCATAGAGACCCCTTCTACTTCATGCAATCAGTACGTGCTTCAAAGTCACAAGTCAAATGCTCAAAAAAGTAGCCCTTAAGATATGCACCAAGCTTGCCAGGTATATAATTCCTTTTCTAGAGATGAACTTTGTGTTAGCAATTGGAATTTTCCCGTGCGGTCCAGCACAGGGTTAAATGGAGAACATCCATCTATTGTGCTGTGTCCTGAACACTTCAAGATCAGGCATGCTGCACCCAGTTTAACAAAAATGGATAAGGCATTGTAGCCCTTACAGCAGATCTGGCAGTTAGAACTAGGCTGTCCCCAAGCCATCCTTCCATCTGGAACCTTCTGCTAGGGAATGGTGTAGGGGAGCTACTCCGAGTGTCTCCAGTAGCCAAGGACAGGCAAGAGGCTACTGTTGTTTTCTAGTAATTTATCTTTGAAGGGTATAGTTTAAGTGAATTAGTATGCTTGGTATGGAAAGAAGCTTTCTGTTTTTCAAGTTGGATGCAGAACTGAATTCAAAAATTACAAAAGAGCAGGTGTCACTACTGGGAGCAGAATTTAGGGTCCAGTTTTTTAATTATTGTAACTATAGAGCCTTTGACTCTGGGTCTCTAACATAAAGAGGAGGAGTCTAATTTCCCTCTTTCATGACAGAGCCAAGACCTCTTTCATGTGGACCAAGAGATGGAAAATATAGAAAACCACCTAATTGTGGCCAGGTTTCCAAATACCTTTTTTCACACTGGCATTTGACCTAAATGTTCATGAGTGATGACTCATTATCAATGACAGACATGGTGGGTCTTTCATTGACTCTACTAGCCTCTCCACCAGCTGAGTGCTGGGACCCACTTGGTCACCACTGTTAATGACTGGTAGGGAGACACTACCAATATACCACAGTCCCACCCCTGTACTCTGCCAGGGCAAAGCAAGAAGCAGGCCAAACATTGTGCTGAGGCTAGGCTCCAATTTGAATTGACAGTTGCAGAGTATGAGGACCCTGGTGGGATGCTTTGAGCTCCAAACCAGCCCTTCCCACCTGCGTGGTCTGCAGCCTGATCTAGCCATGAGCTACCTCAGCCTGAGTGCTGGCTTCTAAGCACCAACACTCACCCATGAAGGAGGCAACGTTGAGGGCACAGCTTAGCCTCACTCTTGTTCTTTGAGTCACATGCACTTGTACCAAATATCCCTTAGAAGCAGCAGCGCAGTGTGACAAACATTCAAGCAGAAATTAAAAAGCACATGCAGACTCACAAAACGGCCCTGGGTGAGTTAAGCGTGTATCCACGCACAGGCACGCACGTGCACACACTCACACTGAAGTTAACAGTGCCAAACAACAAGGAAAGCTGAGAAGGCCAAATTAAATTGATTGGATGTAATCTACTTTGGAGTTGCAGATATTTAAGAGGAAAACATGCCTTTCCTTAACTTACTACTGAAAAGACCTTAAAAAGCAAAATCAGCATGGGTTTGATTGGATTCAGAGGATGCCAGACAGTTTATAGGGGACGCTGAGCATGAGAAGTTGCATTTGGGGCAGAACATGGATTTTGTTTTTGTTTTTGCTAAGAGGGATATGACCCATAGACAAAAATCACCTCGCTGCATGCAACTGGGCCAGTCGGAAGACAATTCTTGTCTCTCCTTTCTTTGTGAAGGTGGAGCCCAGGCCACCTCCTGTCCTTGGTGAGAAGGAAGAATCATTACACTATTTGAAGCAGAAAAAGAGTTCAGGGAGGGTTTCCTTCATTCCTTTTCCTTTTCCTTTCTTTCCTCTTTCAAAAAATTCTAGTAATGGCTAAGCAATTTGCCAACCAGGTCCCAGCAAACAAAGAGAACAAGGAGCTTGTTAAAAATCACTTTTTGCTGAAATTCAGGCTCGATCAGACCTGCCCGGTTCCCTGATTTCTGTTCTGCCAGAGCCCAGACAGAGCTTCTAGAGGCCGGCAAGGAAAAGCTGCGCACAACTGCTGCTACCACATGGCCCCATTCCTCAGACTCCTGCTTAGCACAGTGCTACGTAATAAATATATTCATCCTTTGGAATTAGTACAACTGTTTCTTCCTGTGCGGCATTCTAAGGGCACTTGCTGGCTCTTACCACCACAGTCAGCACTAGGGTGGACAACAGTTAAAGGAAAACAGAAGGAGAAAGAAAGAAGCTCCTGTTGTGGACACGAGGTCATGAGAAAAGGTCACGTGTGGACACTACTGCTGATTTTGGAAACATAGAAATTTCTACCCATGGCTGCTTGGCAAGTGTTACTGTGGGTTGGCCCAGTGTTTGGCTCATGGGTGTTGGGACCAGAATTTCCCTTTTTGTCGTGGCTGAGGGATGGCAGTCTATAAATTCTCCAATCAAGTCTGGGCCTTAGTGTAACACGGCAGGCCTTGCCCCGCTGCCAGTCCTTTTTCTAACTGCCRTTTATGTGTGGGACTTAGAAGAGTCTTGCTTTTTTCTTCATGTCATTGCGTCTCCAAAGAGGTAACTTGTCAAACTCCTGTATGGACATCCCAAAGATTTCCCGAAACACTTCTGGGGCCAAGTGGCGCTGGGAAGAGAGAACAGAGTAGTGGTCAGTCCTGATGGCCACACGGATGGCCCGGAGAGTTGACCTCCAGCTTAAAGATACAGTTGACCCTCCATATCTGTGGGTTCCACATCCTTAGTTCAGYCAAGTGCAGACCAAAGATATCCGTAGAAATTGCCTCTGTACTGAACATGCACAGACTTTTTTCCTTGCCATTTACCCTGCACAATGCGGCATAATGGCCATTTATATTGTTCTAGGTATTATGCATAAGGTGAGGTGATTTAAAGTGTACACAAGGATATGTTAAGATAATATGCAAATTTTACATCATTTCTTAGAAGAGACTTAAGCATCCATGGATATTGGGATCTACTGTCCTCCCTGGAATCAACCCCTTGCAGGTGCTGAGGAGCACTGCCATCATTGTGAAGAGTAAGGCTGCCTGATGGGAGAGGAGGTTATCTCTGATGCTCATTTACTAGGCCAGGTGAGTGCCCTTTCCACCAGATGAGGAGCTCSTTCAGTGTTACTGGTCCTGTTATAATTCAGTGTTAAAACAACACTGAGTAGTAATGCTGCACAGGAGAGTGATTTCTGATGCTGGAGGGGACTCCACCTAAGTTCTTTGGGATGTTCAGAAGATACACAGAAAATGGACCATGGCAATAGAAAGCCAGCCAGAAAGAGACTTCCAGGGTGGTCCCTGGGAGCCCTGGGCGTCTTCTTGGCTTATCAATGAGGGGGAAGGTGGATACCTGGTCTACTGGGGAGGCCTCCTATCTGTCACCGCTTCCAGAACAGTCCCCTTAGGACACGGGGGCCAGTATTCTCTGAGCCAGCCTGACTTCTACAAAGGCATCACCTTTTGTCAGGGAGCAGTAACAATTTTTCCTGAGACTGGCAGCCAGAATTTAAAAAAAAAAAAAATAAATCATTCAGATGGAAAAGTACAAAGATCAGTCTTCCAGATCTAAGGAGGCCTTGGGCATGTGTACCCAGCTAACCCCTCCACAAGGAATGCAGTAACAGCCACGAAAGACATTTGTCCGGTATAAACCTCCTCCTAGAGAGCTCCTTCCCAGCTCCCAGTGGGCTCAGCCCAGGGTCAGGGGAAGAGGACTCTCTGAAGGGGGATGGACACACCCATTCTGCATTCCCCAGCTCTCATTACAACAGCATCCGATTTCCAAAGAAAACGACTAAAATCATATTGTGTCTCAAGGGTTGTTTCAAATGTCATTCCAGGCATTTTAAAAATACTGATCTAAGTATAGAGACATTTAAATATAAGGGCTGTACTACTGTCCTCCCTGATGCCAGGGAATGCCAGATTTAGTCTGGGCACCAGAAACCCAAAACATCCTTCCCAATCCCTCCTTGACATATGTATTTTGAGGGCAGGGGTCAAGTCTGGGTTATTGTTGTACCTCCAGGAGTCTAATAGAGAGCTCAGTACATACTAGAACCATGGATACAGGCCTGCAAACTTGCTTCTTGTGGTTTTTATCTCATTAGTGATTCTCTGAGATTTTAGTTACCTCTTAGTTCTACCTACAATATGAGATTKATCTTTGTGATTTTTCGTTTTCACTGAAAAAAAATAAAACATTTCTCTGGGGACACTGCAGGGTGCAGTGGGGGGTTGTATAGGGATCTGCAACTGGGTCTGGATTTTTTTTTTTTTTTTACCTCCAGCCGGGTTCTGTCCACATCTCTTAGGATTTTGTTGCGCCCTCTGTTGGTCACCATGAGCATTTCATATGGAAATATCTGAGAAGGAAAGAAAATCACCTCCTAACATACTGCTGTTCATTTTATTAACAAGCAGAATCTACTTAAAATCCAACACTACCAAGACAGARCTTCTGAGAGATAATCATGACAGAGTACAAGGTGTTTATCTCTCAAGACCAGCAGGAGCTCCAGGGAACAGGGACAGGGATATAAATCTCCATCAAGGCCTCTCAGAGCACTGTGCCTTGGGAGGGCTTGGCTGGGTACATGGATACCAACTTACTCTGAGTAGGGGATGAAGGTAAAAGTTTGAGAAAAATTGAAATTGCAGGTATATATGCTGGCTTTTATGTAGTTCTGAGAGATGGCTGGGTTCAGCGATCTTGGTCCATAACTATCTCATGAATCCACAGAACCAGGCAGGCCCAGAAGCAATGTTCTGGCAATGGACCCATTGAAATAAGCCCAGTTAAGGCTAACAGGGAGCACAAGCCCTTGGTTACCTCTGGAGGTACAGAATGTTCTGAAGCTAGAGCGACCAGTCATCCCAAGGGTGGCCAAGGAAAAGAAGTGCTGGTATCTCACTAAGAACACAGAGTTCCAACTGCAGTAAGGGCTTAAACCTGTGGACTTACTGCAGCCAGAGTGAAAAGACAATGTGTTTTCTGACARCTCCCCTAGATGCACCAGTCTAGAACAATGGGCCTCACATTCCGAAAAGGGTGAAAAAACAGGAAACCAAATTGTGGTAGGGCCATGTCATCCCTGCATGAGACAAAAGAGAAGAGCTGTACTTGCCTTTGGTTCCAACATGTTGGGCATGGATACGCCCCGGTCCATTCTCATTGCAGGCATGTGGCCATCCGGGAGGGTCTGCAGCAGAAATGTGGTTCAAGGATGAGCACAGAATAGGGGCGCTCAAGGGAGGACTCTGTGGGCTCCCAAACTTCCCGGTTGGGTCTCGTATAACTATTTTATAATGTGTCATATTCCTTATGTATTTTTCAAAACGAGATTCTTATTGAATAAGAAGCAGGAGTCTCTTCTGAGATCCGGTTTCAGAAAGATCCTGGCTTAATAACTATGGACTAATTTCTCAGTTTGGGCTTAGTTTTCCTTGTATTTTTCCTTATCTTTGCTCAGATGTTCTAGGGCTAAGGGTGTAGCTCAGTGGTAGAGAGTCTGCCTGGCATGCATGAGGCTCTGGGTTTAATCCCCAGGACCACCTTTCTCCACTTTAAAAAAAAAAAAAAAGTTCCAGAAAAAGAGGAATAGTTTGAGAGCAAACTATTCCTTCCTGTTGCTCAAGACCTGAGTTTCTTTCTGTTACAATTATAACTAAAAGAAAAAAACACTGYACATGAGTTGACCCTTGATGTTGGTCCGCTTTCAACCTGGAGAGACTCTCCTAAGCCAGAGCAAGAGAGTCTTTCCACACCTGACTTGGCTCATGCTATGTCCCCATGGCCTGCAGGGACAGCTTGACCTGGGCGCCAGATGTGCCTATGCTTCACAGCTGTGGAGGAATGCTTAGACAAATCAACTACASTATGCATCTTCTTAGCAGAAATCATCACCCTGGGGCAAGCAGCCTGGGTTAGAAAATGGCTCTATGGTGCRGGTGTGGCCAATTTAAGGAAGCAGAGTGGTCCATACCTGGTAGTCTGAAAAGGAAAGGAAAGGAAAATATCAGGAAAAGGCCTGGAAAAATGTGGAGCCATTCCCAGAGAGACTGTCTTCTACCACAATTCCTAAAATAGTCCCCAGGAACCATGTCGTTTCCCAGCTCCCAGTCTGTGCCCATGCTGTACGGCAGGCTTCCAAGAAGCCAGAAAATGCCAACCCCAGCTTTAGGAATCAGGTAAAGCCTCCTTCTTTCCTCTTTYCTTGCCATATGCATTTTGAGGGCAGGGGCTGAGTCTCCCTTATGGCTGCATCTCCAGGAAGCGAAGAGTGCTCAGCACCCAGAAGGAAATGCGAGGATTCCCCTTAGCTGGATTTCAGTGGAGATGCCCTGGATTTTAGCACTTGCTCTGCTGGCTCACAGAAGAGAGCTGTGATCCTACTGGAGGGGGAAACCCAAAGGCAGGCAGTGCCTGGAGACAGGGCACAGTCTCAAGGGAACCTTGACCACCTGGGAAGAGGCTGCCCTGTCAGCCTGGCCAGGAGAGCCTCACCTCGCACTCCCCCGCTGACATCTCCGTAGCTGTTATACTGAGCAAAGTCTGTGGAAACGGGCTGGAATGAGGGGGGAAACCATCATTAGAAAAACTTCATAGTGATCCCTTTGGAGGTAGAAAGAAAGACGGGATTTACAAAATCCTAAGAACCCTTCCCAGGCTCATTTCCTGGACCCTCATTAATTTTCCCTCCTATTTATTCCTTTGCAACTGTGAAATCTTTCCTGTGGTACTTCTATTGCCACTGATCACAGGCCCCTGGTAAGCAAATATCTCTTAAATACATTTCCCTGTGTAGTTACAGAATTACTATTGTTCTTTGGCTTGTGAGGAGGACAATTTCAGGAAACTTTCTGTTCATAGCAGAAATAACAACTCAAAGCCAGGTGCGGTGGCCCAGGCCAATGATTCCAGTGGCTCAGGAAGCTGAGACAGGAGGATCTCAAATTCAAAGCCAGCCTCAGCAATTTAATGAGGCCCTGTCTCAAAGTAAAAATAAAAAGGGCTAGGGATGTGGTTTAGCAACCTTGGGCTCAACCCCTAGTTAAAAAAAAAAAAAAAAAAACTCAATTACTTTTTGGTGCACTGTAACAATATCTGCCACACTAATCCAGTCTCAAGTTTCCACAGGCCATTCATTTATTTATTTATTCTTCTCAAAAGAAATATTTTCACTTTTTGTGATTTACAAGGTGACCAGGGAGGTTAAAGTTTTCATTATGATCCAACATTCAGGTCAAGAGTCCGATGTAGGGCTGGGGCTCAGTGGTAGAGTGCTTGCCTAGCACATGTGAGGCCCTGGGTTCAATCCTCAGCACCACATAATAATTAATTAATAAATAAATAAATAAATAAATAAATAAATAAATAAATAAATAAATAAATAAATGTATTGTATCCAATTATAACTTTAAAAAAGGGTCAGATGTAGTCGGACAACAAGCCTGAACTTCAGCTAGGACTGAAGAGGGAATTCACAAAGAAATAACCAATAGAAGAGAAATCTTACCCGGTGAAGCCCATTTTTTCCATAGCCAGGAAGAGATGAGGTTTTAGATGATGGAGCGTAGGAAGCTGAGTGAGAAAAAGGTCAAAAGGCCATTGTTAGGAAAGCAGAAATCTAGTTCTTTAATGACCTTGATAGTGCATCGCTTGCTTTGCAGAAGAGGAGATTTAGCAAAAACAATTCAAATGATATTGGGCTCAAAAGATCACAAAATGCCACCATATTTGAGGGCCCAGGGAAGAGTATCATAACAGTGACACTATTATGGAAGGGCAGGGAAAGAAAGCCACAGGACCAAGGGAGCTGCGCTTCCTAAAATTCTGGGCCCCATCTAAGTGCTTAACTGAATTTATCTCCTTGTATCCTCAGTACCCTAATAATATGATTATTATTTCCATTTTACAAAAGAAGAAATAGGAGTTAAGAGAAGTATCCTGCCAACGGTCACTCAACTCATGACAGCTGAACAAGGATTCAAACCCAGGGATGACCGAACACATGGGCCCCCTGTCCCAGTGACATGGCAGCAGTAACTGGCCTGGAAACCAACCAGTTGAAGTTCTACTGGCTGAGCACAGCTGGGCTCCTGGGAGGCCTGGCCTAGGCCTGGTCTAGGTCTATCCCATTAGTTAAGGGCACGGAAGGCAAATAGGCTGCTCAGTTTGATTTCTGGTTCTGCAACTTAACACGTCCACATCTTTGAATGTGTCATTACATTTTTTTGAGCTCTTCATTTTTTGGTCTATGGAGATATGGTATTATGTATTCATATAGAACGGAATCTCAGAATGAGAAGGAGCTCTGGAGATCACCATAAGTGGTCCTGCCTCTTGCACAACTGGCCAGGCAGGCTCTGGCTCTCAGCTCATGCTAGGAAGGGTCTGCCACTCACCTGAGTGGATAGGAGAATCATAGCGGCTGGCTAACAAGGATGCTCTCTCCCGGCTCTCCTTCTCCATCTCTTCCTTCAGTATCAACTGCCCTAGGCCTGAATTAAGCTATGCACAGGAAAAAAAAAAAAAAAGAAAAAAGAAAAAAGAAAAGGAAAGCAAAGTCTGCGATTACTTTCATGGAACTAGTTTCTTTCCAGAAGGTCTTGCAAGAAGTTCCTGACCCTAGGGGGCCTGATTGCAGGTAGGTCCAGTGCCTGGTAATTCCTCAAAAAGCAGGACAGGTTCTGGATTCTGAACCCCTCTTAGTCTTTCCAATGTCAGGGGAATGTCCCTGTGCCAGGTTCTGTCAGAAAGCTGCCTCCTTCTTTTGCCCTCCCCAATGTGTCAGTGGGTGACCTCAGCAGGCGTATGTGAGTGTGTGATGGACTTTTGATGTGGGAAGGGGAAATTGGGAATGAATCCTTAAAAAAATTGCATTGATTCAAAATCAAAACAAAAAATAAGTATGTGTTTATTGTACATATTTTGAAAAATCTGGAAGAATGAACCTATAATCTGCTACTCGGAGGTGACACCATTTCTAACTTCTATTTACCCTAATCTATTATTTTTCTATACATGTTTTACATAAAACTAAGATTATACTCTGTGTTATTTCCCCCATATAATTAATGTGCGTTTCTCATCTCTTTGGAAAACATCATTTCAAGGGATGCATTATTGGTGGGAGAGTTTATAATCAGACATCCTTCTGGTTTGCAGTAGGCCCTTGCTAAAGGAAGGAGGGCAATGGGCACCTTTTGGTGACTGTCCCCTTGATTCCTTTTTCTCCTGGTCTAGATATGCATAAGATCCTCCAAGTTCTGAGGGGCGATTTGGAGAAATATTCAATCCTAAGGGAATTCTTCCAGAAGAGCCTGCAGGCCCCAGATGTACATCGCCTCCACCTACCCGGCCCTCCTGCACCCTCTCTGCACATGCACCACATGCCCACTCACACAGTCACACTCTCCAACCATTCCACATCCCTCTGACCTCCAGCCTCAATGTCATCACCTCTAAAGGCAAGTGCAAAGTCCTTATTAAAGTTCATGCTTGTCATGTCTCGCTGGACTGTAAGCCTCACGGGGCTTGGGACCACCTCTTGCCTGTCTTAGTGGCTTGTACAGAGTAGTGATGTAAAAAGTTATAGATTTTATTGAATTAGAATTGAAGACAGCTACAAGGTAGTTTAAGGACAAACCTTCATTAACTGCTCTTCTTGAAGCTGCCGGCGTCTCAGGAATTCCTCCTCATCTTCCTCTCTGCCACTAGATCTGCGTCTCATGTCAGTTCCTAATTCCACAGCAAAGACAACTTCTCACATCAGCCCCACGACAAGGGAATCTTAACGGACTAGTCCATCTGTGTTCAATTTGTAGGCTGGCAAGCTCTGCAGTGGTTGGTCCTTCACAAGTCGAAGTGAACCAGACAGGGGGGAAAGGCACCCACCACCAATCCAGCTCACCCAGGTGGTTTCTCTACAAAGGTGGGCCCCTTTGGCAAGCTGGATCAATGTACTAGTGACTCCCTGCAATTCTCTGCTCAATCAGAACTGGTTTGCCACCTCCCTGATCCTGTCATCAGATTAACCATGGGTCAGGGCTCCTTATAGTGAATGGGAGGGGCACCCCCAGCTAATGTCCCTGAGGTCATTTTTTCAAATAGAGAGGAATCTGAATTTATCCATATACCCACAAATCTATAAGATGGTTTCTGTCTTGTGACAAGTTTAAAAATCTTGTGGTTTTCTCTTTCTCTGAAGATTTAGACTTTTCAGAATACTATCATTGCCGCCTACACTTAGTAAATCAATTAAAAAGCATATTTGTTTGTGTCTTTTAAGGAATGGATTTCCAACTTTCTTTTTTAATATACTTTTTAAAAAGGACTATAAAAGAATTTTCTACCGGGCCAGGGTTGTGGCTCCATGGTAGCACGCTCGCCTAGCACGTGTGTGTGGGACTTTGGGTTCGATTCTCAGCACCACATAAAAATGGGTAGACAAAATAAAGGAATTATGTCCAACTACAACGAAAAAATAAATATTTTTTAAAAAAGAATTCTGTACCATCAGTTATGTAAAAACAGTATTAATAAAGCTAAAAATTACTGCGTGTATTTTTTAAAATTTCGAACGGTTTTTACATTTCTTGGAAAAAGGAGAGACAGGGAATGGAAAGGAGGAATCTGTCTGAATGATTGGAAGATGAAGATAATTGTTGTTTTCCCTAAATTCCTTGGATTAATCTGGCTGTGGGAGGAAACAGGAAAGTTTGCTAATCTAATAAAAATAAACTTCAACTAATAGTCTCAGTTTTCATCATTCTGATTAATGGACCAGACATTTTCCTCATCTTGGAACCCAAAGGAAATTTAAACTATGTAGTGATGATAGTTTCAACAATAAAAATTGAATTCTCCTTTTCCGCAAAAGCTTAGCTGCTTCCAAGTCCCTGCTCAGCAATACAACTGTGGGGGCACAAGGCCCCCACAGACTTCCAAAAGGCACAGATTGACACATTCTTAGTTCTTAAAATCATAAATGTCAATGTCAATTTTCTCTCTTTAGTGTATTCTAATAAAAACTAAGAGATCCAACTTTGTAAGAATTAAATAAATCTCATTAACATAATCATAGAATACTTATGAATGATAAACTAAGTAGATTTTCCCTTCAACTATTACTATAAATATTAGTTGTTTTAAAATCACTTTATTGCCTATAAAAATCATTTCCTCAATTAACTTGATAAAAATAACCTGATGCAGAAGATTAGGAAATTTTGGAAAATTGAAGGCCTTTCAGGTTGTCAATAGAAATGTGATAAGCTATAGTCATGCCTTTGTAAGGCTGACTCACTGGATTTTCAGTATTTGCTTCTGTGTTTGTTAATATCCCTTTCAGGGCTGAGTGATTTCACTATGACAGAACAGTAAAGACACAGACACAATTGGAAAGCATAAAGAAAAGGATGAAACAACTCCAAAATGACATTTTAGCACAGGATCATGGAGATGACAGATGTAAAGTTACATCCCCTCACTTGCTATTTCAGAAAATCTTCTACTCTGTAATAGCTCTCCTTGGCAATGGAGAACATGATCTTGCAGGAACGTTAAAGTGCTTCGGTGTTAAGGTTGCTGGTTAAGAGAACTATAATCCAGATATAGTCTAAAACAAATGTAACTAAAAGAAGTCATGCTTCCATGGACCCTCAGCAAACCCACCCACTAGACTCTAATTATATAGAACAATGCTTTTGCCATGAAGCTCTGACTCAACTGTGCTTGAAACAGTTGATTTTACAGTGATAACTCCAAGAGTCTGTGCAAACCATCTGTTTTAGACCAGTTCTGGATCTCAGTGGGTTTGGTTAGAGCCATGCTCTGGTTGATGTGTTTCTGTAACTGAAGCAACTTGCACACAAACTAATGCCATGTTAGGTCTTTTCACTATTCTGCCTCTTGGCTGTTCTTTTCTTAAAGTCTTTAAGTTTGGACACATGTTCTTGTACCTTTCCAAGCATCTCATGGTTAGCTCCCCTCGCAATTTGTCCATTTGACTTAGCTGCATCAGTTGCATACCTACGGCGGCAAGTGAGGGGGGACCAGGCCAGTGGTCCGTCTCAATCTTTGGTATCTCGCTGGGGTCTGGTGCCTGGGCTGCTGGGAACTTGGAAAACTTGATGATATCTTCTGAGGACTTGCTCTGGGCTGCCAAAGCAGCTGCATCTGGATGGGAACCAGGGTTGCTTAGCTATTGGTGTGTAAGGCAGGGGTGGTTCAACCCCACAGACACAGTTTTCTCATTATCAGAAAAAAGTTTCAATTCCAGAAAGTTCTATCACCATGACAATTCAATTCATTTCCCTTACTTTATGTTAGAAGCAACATTTTATTCTATGTCTGTCCTACATCCAAAAATTCTTGTTCTAGAGCTATGCTGTCCAGTGCTAGCTCTATTTAAATCTAAATGAATAAAATTAGGCAAAACCAAAAAACTAACAAACTTAAAATTCAGTTCCTTGGTAGAACCAGTTGTATTTCAGGTACTCAGTAGTCATATGTCATTAGTGGCTACTGCACAGGACAGCATAGATACAGAATGTTTCTACCATCATAGAAAGTTCACTCCTAATATTCTCCAAGAGTAAATAATTATTTTTGGAATTAGAAAATTGAATTATTGGAAATTTGAGTTAAAAAATTGAAGTTAAAGAGTTAAAAGCATGACAATAGCATTTTACTGTCGTCACTCATCTTTAGAGGGATGGTAGCTTTGGCCAGAAACCAAAAATATATTGGTCCATTTCATTTTAATCCTTATATGCTACATATGGGTCCTTGTATCTTGGGAGAAATGGAAATGGAGAAATCTACTTCCAGCTTGCAGGAATTTAGCATTGTGATTTATGTATGCCATCCCCCACTCACTGTTTTGTTCGAGGGTCTGTATATACAAGTGAGTGAACCAACAAAAGCCAAACTACCAGTGACATTAGCTCAGAGTCCTTAGTGGCTGTGTTTGGAGGAGGATTCACAGGCTGAAAGCACTGAATCTGCCCTGAGTTGGAGCAAAACAAACCAGGTGAAATGGTTGGTCCTGATTCTGGCTAATTTTGCAAACTGGTCTGGGATGTTACTAAACATTTCAAGACACAATTATAATATTTTTTCCCCTCCTGGGTTCATATATTTTAAAATCTGGAAATAACCTTTTGATCTTCAGCTCCAATATCTGCTTCCTTCCACTAACCTTCTGGGTCTCAATTTGCTTACATGATTTGACCAAGGTCACCCAATAATAAGGGGTAGATCTTGGCAGGACATGGAGCAGTGTTTCTCAGAATCTCTAACCTCAGGAGAAAAAAAGAAAATACTTCTGCATAGAAAACACTACATGCTCAACCCTTCCTGTAGACACACAAAACACATTAGCAAAGGAAAGACCTAAGTTCTGCATCACACAAAAAGAGTGTGTGACTTAATTTAGATCCAGCCTTTCCCCAAAACATCAGGGCACAGACTGCAGTTTGGGGAATGACATCTATTCCTTTGGCACTGAAATCTGGCTGTCCTTTCTTTGACAAGTGGCCATACTACTATTAATTACAATAGACTGAAAGCAAAGACTTTAAAGTCAGTATTGAAGGAAGTCAATCGATTCCTTCCAAATAAAGGCTCACATTATACAATCTCCTTAAATCCTAACTATTTTTGTTCCAAGAGACAGAGTCTAAATATTTTAATATWTTTTTTAAAAGTTTCAACTGATAATTCAAACTCTGGGAATCTTATTCTTAAATTAAAACAAAAAAGCATGACTTCAAACAGTACTTACTCATTAGAATTGGTGAAGTCAGTAGTTAAACATTCACATGTTAATGAGTGTGTGGGAAGACATTAAACCATAAAGAAACAAAAACAAAAACAATGTTAACAAACTTAAAAGGCAAGCACATGATGCAAAACCTCGAAAAATAACGAGAAAAAAAACCATAACTCTAGAACCGTTCCATTATACGCGGTCTTTTTTTTCCCCAAAATTTTGGCCTAATATTTTTTCCTAGTGTATTTTCAACTTTGCCTTTCATAGCATCCTAATTCTTAATMACTTATTAATGGCAACTGGATTCTAAAGTCAGCCTTCAAATTTCCAGGCACAACTTCTGTAAAATTTTCTGAAATCATTGGAAGACCAGTTTTGCCTATCATCTCTCTCTCTCTATTCACAAAAATTTCTGGCAGATAAATCCATAGAGACCTAACAACAGTGGACAAAATGTGATTTACAGAAAGTAATGTGACTTCTGGGATTAAAAAAAAGCTGCATTTCAGAACAAGAAAACACAATTATAAATCCACTTTAGTAATTCTTAGTTTCCAGGAATATCCGAGACGAACTGATTTAACTCAGGGGTCCTTAGAGATAAGAAAACTGAAGCAGAGCGGGCGGCATGATATCATAGAGCCATGTAGACAGGAGATGGCACAAGGATTACCACCAGTCAGCTTGTGYCCCATCCATTGCATGGCAAGACATTGGCACACCTCAGAAGAGGCAGGGGACTGGAATAACTAAGTCCATGTAGGCTTGGCCAAATTAATTTTTCTAAGTGTTTTTTTTAATTAGTTTTAATTAGTCAAACTGCCTGCAARCTCATTAAAATTATTTTAAGGTTTGTTTACATTATTTGATGCAAAAAAAAAAAAAAAGTCTTGTTAGGCTGCTTGTGGGCCCTTGTGACCAGTACTTTCCCTTCTCTATGAATGGAATAATACATGGCCCGATGGGCTCAGAAATAGGGGGTCACTTCCTGATCCAGCCAAGTATTCTCCAYCCAGGGAAGTCAGTTTCACAGCATTTACACATCTTATCGGACCTAAAATCCATCATAATATACTGGATGCCCCAGTTTGATTCTCAAAAGCAGCAGCAATTAAGCCTTTCAGAAGACAGCAAAGAGGAGACAGCAGACTCTGCTACTTAAACTATGCGGAGGAAAGCGAGTTTTACCATGCTGTTTGTAGATGGGTGGTTTTCGGTAAATGTTGATCCCTTGATCTGTGAAAATGAAAAGCAAAGGTGTGTGATTATGGGAACCAGTTCAGTGATGGGAAAAACAAATCAACCAAGGGGCAAACCAAACTGAAGACTCCTGAACAAAAATAACCCAGAAGGCTAACGTTTGTATTACAAAGATTGCATTCTTTGGAAGAAAAGATTACAGAAATGAGKGAATTACTGTAGAAAAGTGATCTGGAAGCCTTTGTAATACATCTTAGCATATTGAGAGATGTAACTTATTCATGAGCCATTTATTTCAAATACATACTTCACTGAAAGTGGAATTAAAACATTAAGAAATGCAAGCAGTGGAAGCACTCGGATGGTGGGGAAGACATAACCAGTTTGGGGGGGAAAGCCCCAAATTGCTACTGTCTAGAAATTGAGCTCCCAGTAGATACCAGTGGCTCAATTTACTTTTTCAATTAATGAGTGGAACAGTGAAAAGCAATGTAGAACAATCAAGAGTATTTTTTTTTTAAACACAAACACATTTTCTATGTGCAAGGCTAGCTTGGTGAGTTGATGGGATGCTCAAAAGAATCCTAATTTTTRTAGGCCAAATTTTTTTTAAAAAGGAAGAAAGAAAAATAAAGGAGATACTAAACACTATTCATGTGTTCATATAGGACCCCGTTTGATTATGCCACCATTTCACTTTAGCTGCAAATATTCAGGAAATTTGAAAAAGGTTTCTTTTGGACACTATATCTTGGTGGGGCATTCTTCATGAATTAATTAGCCAAATTAATTTTCCTAGGTGGCTCTTTTTCTACTGGCCTTAGTCAAACTAATGGCAAGCTCATCAAAATTATTTTAGAGTTTTATTAAATTATTCAATGCTTAAAAATAAAGCAAGTCTTGTTAGGATACTATAGGTTGCTGTGTGGCTGGTACTGCCCCTTTTCTATGAATGGAATGATATATGATTTGATGGGCAGGAAGCTTTCTAATCAAAGTAGGTATTCTCCATCCAGGAAAGTCAAAATCCCAAATGTAGAACAATGTTCTTCAGGATTTCATGAAACTTTTAAAAAAGGGCAATCCTAGCTGAGTGGGCCAATCTCATTGAAGTTTCCTCTGTTTTATTAGGTAAATTTAGAAAGCAAAAGGAAAAAAAAAACTAATATAGATTATAAGTATATATTTACAGGGTAACTTACTGAACCGTTTTCAGTAGCTAAAAGGATCAAAACTGTATACTGCTGATGGGAAAATACCATTGTGGCCTCTGATGGATAGTCCCACCCTGAGTAAGATAGGGACAGATTCTGGTCTTTCCAGTTTCTGATGGCAAATTACTACTTGTGCTGGGACAGCCAATGCTTGTGGCTACCGGAGCAGAGCTGGCAGCACCACGCCTAAATTGCAAGATATCTCTGTGGGTTGGGTTATGGGGGTGGCGAAAGACCACCTCCCTGATCCAGTGCTACACCTCTCTGAAAAGCCCACCGCGGGAAAATCTCCACACTGAGACAAACAGGAAATAGAAAGGTATTCCCAAGTGACACTGTGATTCAATCTGGAGGATGAGAAGATATCCAGACTGCTGTCGTGGTCATTTAACAACGAACCACAGAGTGACATCTTTGAAAGAGTTAAAATTTTTGCAAAACAATTCAACCCTTCTTTAAAAAAAAAAAAACAAAAAACAACAAAAAACCTTGAGGTCTCAGTGGTGATGTGCCTGCCTGGCATGACTGAGGCCCTGGGTTCAATCCCCAATATCTTTATTTAAAAAAAAAAAATAATGAACTTGAGAAAAATGGAACCTTCAGTGTGATCCTGGCACTATGCATATAGAACTTTTGAAAGGCATCTAGGTCGGATCCTGCAATTTAGGATTTGTCAGCTGTGTGCATCCCAATTAACAAGCATGAACAATGGAGACGAGACGAGGTTACGAGGCTACGTTCTACACTGTGACAGGACACCGAGACAGACCGTGTCAGCTCCTACCTGGAACATGGAAATGTTTAGGGGCCTGAGCGTAAGTTGGAGTTAGAGGGCGGCTGTCGGGCCGGTAAGGGAGAGGGGAGTTCCGGCCGCTGGACGGCTCATTGCCTCCAATGAGAAGAATGGAGAAAACAAAATGAGAGAAGGGAGAACAATAAAGAAAACCAAGCAAGCGTAATCAAAATTCAACACAGCAAACTGCAAGGAGGAGAAACAAAGGAAACAGACTCAGTTTATCAAGTTGCTGGCAAAGGTGGTGTCAGGTTTAGTTTCTCAAAGGGGAGGCTGAGTTCACGCGGACCCAGGTGGAAAGCGGTTAGCGGTCAATGCGTCATTCCAATGGCATGCAGGTGAAGGCTGTGAGCCGGCAGCAAACTGATCAGATGGCAAGGGCACTGGGTGGAATGGAAAGTCACTTGCTACTGATTCCAGATCAGTTGCCAGATGGGTAAATCCCAAGTACCAGAGTGGTGGGATATGCAATCCCCCCCGCACCAGAGGTACAGCTGCTTCCAAGCATGATGGCAGAGGCTGGCCATTGGAATGCATTTCTCTGAACTGAGGACCAAGTCTGGAAGCCAGAGCAGTTACCCAGGCTTTCCCCTTAGGAACAGCAAAACAGCTTCATTGCAGCATATGTTTCTGTTTTCCTCACTTTGAAATACACAAATGGAGTCAGATCCCTTCCTGCCAGGTGCTTGGGGACCACTGATATCTCTCTACCAGGCTAATGTCTCAATCACTAACACATTTTCCGAACACCCACTCTACCTGGGCACTGGACTACTACTGAGGACAAACARGTGAATGAGACACAGTCCTTGCCTCCAAGGCCTCAGGGTCTACCTACTGAGGCTGACTGAAAAACATTCGTGTGTATGTGTGTGTACGYGCATGTATGTGTATGCRCATATGTATACATATATGTACATGTATACATGTACATGTTTACTCAGAGGTGCAAGAAAGCTGCTAGGAAATGAAATGCAGATGTCATCGATTCTTCAGGAAAGGTCCCTTGATTTGGGCACCAAAAAGGAAGTTCTCAGGTGAGTGGGAAGGCCCATATTCTGTATGGCTGGGACATCATAAGCAGGGACTGTGATGTGTGGAAGCTACAAGACTGGTCAGGGTTCTTCAAGGCAGTATCTTGGGCATGGCTGGAGTGGAGGGATGCAGCTTGGCTGCAAAAGTCCCAAGTGCCACTTGGACCACCTCCCCTTCTGACCACAGGGGAGAACTGCTTGTATGAATAGAATGTGTAACATCAGAAAGAGATTAGCCACCACCCTGATTTTTCCTCCAACCCCATCTATAGACAAATATCTTGTCCCAAGAATATACCAGAAGATGTAGGGCTATGACAAGTTAATAAATTATTTATGCTAATTACTTTTATTATTGATTTTAAAGGGTTCTTTATATATTCTAGATACAAGTCCCTTATCAGATATTTGCACATCTTTTCCCATTCTCTAAGTTGTCTTTTTTGATAGTGCACTTTTTTGATAGTGCACTTTGAAGCATAAAGTTTTAAATTTTGATGAAGTCCAATTTACTTATCTACTGATGCTATTTTAAAGTAGATTATCAGAAAATAGATATCTAGCCAGTGTTTTCATGTTAAATTGTCCTAAATCTCACTAGAAAAGTGTGAAAGAGTTGCTAGAGTTTTAAAATATGGCAAATAGTTTTTAATTCCTCAATATGGACATTTTTAGGTAACTAGAGCCCAGACCTGTACCCAATGGGTAGTAAGATATTCTAAATATGATATCTGGATTTGCTACTGGCTCAAATTTCTATTTGAGGCTATTAGAATCCCAGGTTTTTGAGATTTCAGACTTTTGTCTTTTTTCCCTCTGACTCACTTTAGCATCCAGTTCCCAATATTATAATGTTGACTTATTTATTTAAATTAAATATTAGCTTCTAAAAGTTATGAAGCTTCATCCCAAACTTCATCTACTAAAAAACTTCATTAAAAAGCTAGTGTACTGGGGCTGGGGTTGTGGCTCAAGTGGTAGAGCACTCGCCTACCATGTGTGAGGCACTGGGGTTCGATCCTCAGCACCACATAAAAAAATAAATTAATGAAATATATTGTGTCCACCTAAAAACCAAAAAATAAATTTAAAAAAAAGCTAATGTACTGGGGTTGGGATTGTAGATCAGCATTTGCTAGAGAACTTGCATAGCATGTGCAAGACCTGATTTTGATCCTAAGTACCACATAAAAGTAAATAAGTAAAATAAATATATATTGTGTCTATCTACAACTAAAAAAATATTTTTTAAAAAGCTAATGTTACTTAACAAATTAGAATAAAAAAATTTTAAAGTGTAACATCAGAGATATGAAAAATGTGCTCTATGTGTGTAAGATGAATTGTAATACMTTCTGCTGTCATACATAACAAATTAGAAAAAAAAAAAGGCTAATGTCCTGGTGCACACCTGTAATCCTGGCTACTCGGGTGGCTAAGGTAGGAGAATCACAAGTTCAAGGCCAGCCTGGGCAACTTAGCCAGACTCTGACTCAGTGTAAAAAATAAAAAGGGCTGAGGATATACCTCAGGGGTAGAGTGAACCTGGACTCATTCCCAGAACTGCAAAAACAAAAAAAACAAAACATTTTTTTTTAAATAAGCTGATTTACAAACGTGGTTTTATTTAATCTCACTCTCCCAAAGAGCAGGAACTAGCTCATGTCTGAAAAAAATACATGTGAAAATAGAGGCAGAGTGTGGCTTGCACTGAGAAGCGAACGCTGTGTTAAACCCATGGCTGAATTAGAACTGGGTCTCCAGTGTCCTCCCCAGGGCTCAGCTGATTGTGCAAGTGCTTAACAAGTGTCTGAGAATGGACTACTGAAGTGGGCAACTCATCCACCCCACAGCTGTTCACTGGCCTAATTCAGGAGGCACCACTGCAGGGTCAGCCAGCTTATCTCTTTGATCTCTTAAGGAAAGAAAGCCAGATGCTGTTTTTCAACAGTGGGATCCCAACAGCACCTCTCTATGACTTTCCCATTGCAGTTTATTTCTAATAACTCCAATTTAATCATTCTACTGCAGAAAAATTCTTTAACTCTATAAATATTAGAAAATAATTGATAATTGAAAAACAAAGTAATTCTTGGGGCTCTTATCAAAAGAAGACACAGAGGGTCTCTATTTTCTGGCTTTATTTTTAAACGTTTCTATTGAAGGCTCTTTCTGGGTCCTGAGCCATACTGCTTTTTTTCTTTAATCCTTTACCTTTAACCCTAGTGTCCTTGTAGGGGAATTTTGTTCTCATAGGTTTGGGTTGCAATACCCAATCAGATGAAATTTTCTTAAATATGTTTTGATAATTATTAGCCAGTATCATGCACATACAAAAATATCTGCATATGCAGGACACAAAGGTTGAAGGTTATTAGAAATAGGTATTTGTACAAGTATTACAATCTAYCAATAAGATCCTCAGCTGGCAGGTGCCAGTAGAAGATACCCATCACTTCTTGGGTAAGGTTAAAGACTCCAAGGATCTTGGAGAAGCTGCCTGCATTCCCGGGAAGTGGATTGGCAACAGTTGKGCATGTCGGCAACAGTTGGGTGTAGCTGTTTATTTGTGTGATCTTTAGTAATCATTGATCTCTCAGTTGTTTAAAAAACACTAGTATAGTCAAGTGTTTATAAGTAATATTAACTTCTGACAAGACCTTCTTAAACACCAGGTAGAGAATGGTTCACCAATATGTTCATCTCAGAGACTCTGCACAATATAATGTTCAAGCACCACACTGGCTCAGCAGGGAATGAGGTCTCTGAATAGATGGTGTTGCCAAATACCAAAATCTGAGCCCTTGAAAGTCATGGAAAACTGGGGGAAGATTTTTTAAAAGCAAAGGAAGAATTCTCTTGATGAGGCCTCTTCCTTTTCTAAAGTAAAGACCTTCTCTTTAAATATTTAATTTCAACCCTACCCTAGCTCATGAAGACCTTATGAGGTTTTGAACTTAGCTCAATACTTGGGCAAAGTGATGTATGAAGCATCAGATGAAATATCATGTTTGAAAGGTATTATTATCATCATAGCCACTCTCATCTGCTAGTTAGAATAATACTGTTTATAAATACTACACTAATATATGTGCCTCTCATATGATAGCACATACATCACATACAGAGATGATTTGTTCCTTAACTAAGTCCTTGAATTAGGCCATTCTAAGTTTTAATGATATTAGCTATTGCAATGAGAACCTATAACATACATACACACATACACACATACATACATACACACACACACACATACATACATACACACACACACACATACACACACACACACCTATTTATATATTGGTATTAACTTTAAGCTTTTTCTTTGTCAGCCTTACAAGCCAATTTTCTAGCCCTTGGTAGATCGTTTGCTGGCAGGATTCTCACTATACTTATGAATCCAAATGCTTTACTCAACTTTGTTCTTCTTTTGGGAACCAGGAAAGCCTGAATGACTAATTCTAAGATAAGTGAATAGATATGGAGGCGCATGATTATGCTAGAACTTGCTAGCTAYACTGCCTAGCTTTCAGGCCTCCTCATGCTTATATTCCAAAGTATAAATGCACATGTGGAGGGAACCTTCATACTGGCAGCATCTAGAATTCTGTGACAGTTGCAAGATTGCCAATTCCTGCTTAAAACTTTAATAGGAACTTCCTTTCCCCAGTATGTGTCAAATATGTATTTGCATCATAGCAACTCATATCTATGGCAAAGTGGAAAAGATTCCTTTCAAAGAGACTTAATCTATGCAGCCCTCCTGCTCACAAATCCAATTTATACTTCCTGGCCATAGGATGTCATATTTAGCAGTATTTCAAAGGGGGAAAGAAGAGAAACTCAGTAAGTGTTGCACAAACAAAGTCTGAAATAAAGTGAAAAAAAAAATTTTTTTTTCCAGATCTCTAGTCAGGAAGTTGTCCAAATGGCCCAATGATGACATACTAACACAGAATGAGGCTGCAAGGAAGGTTGCAGAACAGAAATAAAACCAGATGGATGTTACAGAAAATGGCTGGGGAAGCAGGACACAGTCTGTAACATGCATCTCAGCTTCTCACCCATGCACATGTCCTCGGCTCAGTGAGCTCTGGGGGCTTGGGCCACATGCATCAGAAACAAGGACCAGGAAGTGGACTTGGGCAGCTGCAGGCTGGGCTTCCTGCTGCCAGAGTAGCAAGGGCCCCTTCTGTTTCTGGCAACATGTTCCTGAGATGGACACCCTACCTTTAATCTCACATTCATTTAAAAAAATAACTTCCCCATGACCACAAGTTCCAAAATAAAAAGTTAATGTACCCCTGGGAGACATCACCCCATTTGAAAGATCTCTTAGATGCATTCCTCAAATGGCTGTAAGTTTCCTTCCATCTGAAATTTCCAAGTGCTAAAGAAGCCGTCCATGTAAATGGACACAATAACTAAGAAATAATTCCTTGGAATAATAAGGATTTAGCCAAATATGTTAGGCTTTTAAAGCGATATCTTTATACAAATTCTCCATGTTTTATTTGCTGGGTTAGCAAAAAGCTCATCTGATTTAAAAAATAAGAATATACTGCTATGTACATATTTTTATCGGAAGTATATAAATTGTTTCATGTGAATAAAATATAGGCCTCTATTTAATAAAAAGAAAATGAGAGAAAGAAGCAGAGATCATTAGATGTTTTTAAAAATGTAAGTTCAGGGTCACGCTAATTCCTCTTGGTCAAGTGCTTTTTATAATTTAGACAACATTTGTGTTGAAAACTTCAAAATCAGACTGAAAACAGAAAACAATGCATCTCTACATTTTTTAACACTGAACCATTTGGGCACACAGAGGTATTATAATTTTGTAACTTAAATGATTGAGAACGATTATTTGTTTTAGCCTCAATGAAGATGCAATTTTCTAGTGGGTCAGGAGACTGAGGCAGGAGGATCATGAGTTTAAAGCCAGCCTCAGCAACTTAGTGAGGTACTAAGCAACTCAGTGAGACCCGTCTCTAAATAAAAAATGTTTAAAAAGCTAGAGATGCGGCTCACTGGTTAAGCGCCCCTGGGTTCAATCCCCAGTACTGCCCCTCCAAAGAAATGTAATTTTTATTTTCTGGTTTTAAAGAGATGAAAAATAAAGGTTTGCTTAAAAGTTTTTATTTGCACCTATTTATGTGGAAGCACGTGCACCTAATGGGAACAAGCTCTTCTAGGGATGCGAGGGGCTGGGGTCTGGGCTGGCTGATGCCTGTTCCTAGTATGGGCCYTGGGCTAGTTGCTTAGCCAGGGCCTCTGCTCCACAGTCTTCCCACTGGGATGCCTTCACAGGGAGGCTGTGAAGAGTGAATGGAATGAGGCAGTCAGCAGTGTTTCCAGCACCATGCCAACCACATACGGGGCACTCCAGCTCATATCTTCCCGATGAGGGCTTGCATCCTTCCTGATGTATAGACCAGGCACATAACACTCAAAAGGGCAAGTACCTAACCCGAGGTCACAGAGCCAGCAAGTGAAAGGAGTAAGATTTAAATCCTTGATTCCAGTGCCTCGAGCTTTCCCTCTCTCTACATGACCACTTGGGGACACAGGGTACTGCTAGTCACAGAAATTTTGCCATGAATTATATTATACACTTTGTGTAACTTTTCAGGGCCAATGACATTTTTCATTCCATAGAAAATATCTCTCTGAAAGATGAAACATGCCATAACYAAACTAGGAAATCGACACTTTAATGAATCAAAAATGTGTTTTTTCTTGAATACCAGAAATAACCTAAGTCTTAATTTGGCCAAGGGCTGCTTTATTAAACTCTCTTTAAAATACATGCTGATTTCCTTCTGGTTTTATAAACATTCGCTGAAGTATCATCTTGACATATGGATAATAATTTCTCCCCAAAATACTAATTAGCAATAATAGTTTTGAATAATCTGTCAAAGATTTTAGAAAGTGCTGTGCCTTCCAAAAAACATGCTAATGGCAAATGGTGTGTCTTCAGTAAGCATGTCAGCAATATTATTTTCAAAGCATGGAAAATGCTGGAATAGCAAATTTATAAGATAACTAAGCCTGCTACAGCTATACTTTAGGACTCAGTCACTCAGGAATCTAAAAGCTTGAGTAGACTGACAATGAAAGTCCAGGAAACTAGAACATTTCTGGTCAATAGATGCATTAGCAACGGGAGCCCTGCTTTAGAAAGTTCTAAGACCCAGAGTAACAATGGAGCTTGCTTCCTCCTCCTCCTCCTCTTCCCTGTGCTATTTTTCTTGTTAACTTGTTTCAAATCAAGATTATAGAACAAGTTAGCTACTCTGTGGGAGCTCATGCTTAATTTAAATTATGGGCCTCTTCAGGGCTCTCCTCTCCYCCAATGTGTGTGGAGGGCCCCAGCCCAGGACTCCGCAGAACCACAGCCACAATGAAGAATGGGGAAGAATGGGGGTGCAGGCAGGGACAGGAAACAGAAGGCAGAGCCTCTTCTCCATCACGTGGAAACGAGGACAAATTAAAAGCAAAGGTGCGGAGTTACGTTGTCACAGATCATGTTATGTTGCCCAAACATGTTAATGTAGTTCAATTGCTTATCCTAGGAAACACGACTTTTAGACATTTGTTACTACACACTATTGGGTTTCGCKGAGATGTATCCCATGTTGAACCCAGGAAAATACCCCAAGTATATATTATATTTTGCTTTTGATGCGGACAAAAACAAAATAATAATATACCTGTTTTTTCTAAGTGGCAGATGACGAACCATACAGTCTTAAATATACTTCCTGTTTCTTCATCTAGAGCCCTTAGAAATGACACAGCTCTCCAAATGCAAGCTGCTGTGCCAGTTCTAAGGCCACCGTTGGGTACCATCATGACACACGCAGGCATGCTGGAGGGTCAGAAGCTAGGTGGCTGCTCTAAGTCTTGGAGATGTAGCTTATTAGCCTTGCCGGGGTGCTAATAAATCTCCACTACGCAGCGCAGGTGGCCCTGCCGAGGCCTGCCTCCTTACCTTTGACATGGGGAAGGAAGTGGTGTCGGAAGGGGGGGTTGGGGCGGGAGTCGCTGTGGGTGGAGCTGAAGCTGCTGGTGCGMGGGTGGGACACCCTCTGCACACCAGGAGACAAAAGCTCTGTGCGGCAGGGAATCGGGACAGGGCCGAGGAAACAGAAAAGAAGAACAGAAATTAACACAGGAGCAGGGAAAGTGGCACTGTTCCAACGGGGGGACAAAAGTGTTAACCAGGAGTCTGAAAAGGAGGAAGGAAGACGAGTTACGAATGCACCTGCAGAGGGTTAGGCGAGGGTGGACAGAGTCACTCTCAGAATAAATGGCTTTGGTGAGGAGGAATGGTCCCAGGTCACGCTCTGGCAGTTTGACGCCAGCTACTGTCGAGCAAGGACTGGGCACAGCATGTGGACTCAGTGACACCGGTTGATAAAAAGCACCTGACAAAATGGAGCCCTCAGAAATGCACGTGAAAAATGACAGTCATTTCAAGAAACGTGAAAAGAAGTCCTTGTGTATAGGGGTTGTGTTATTTTTTTCAAGCTGCAAACTCATCCCACTTTGCAGTTTTACATTTTATTTCACCTACACAGAAGGAAAGTCCGTTTGTGTTCCCCAGGGGGCAGAGTGGGGTTGGCTCTTGAGAGCTGGCATCACTGGGGATGGGAAGCAGCATSTCAGAGAAAGAATGGACCACTGCATCTAGATCTGGACCTGGGCGATGTAAGACATCATCCAGCACCCAGAATTTGTGGGGTRGATACACTGGGGTGTTGTACTCAGATCACAAATACCCTATGAGTTTCATTTTAAATGGTTAGGGCTCCAAAAAGACCAGCTTAACACTTGGAATGTGCATATTTGTAGCATATTGTGAAAGGAGGGAAGAACATTCCAAAGGGTCCTGGCATCAGAACCATGATTGGAAGAGATTAAGACTTTCCAGTGCTCAGTCAGGACGGGAGCTTGTCAGGGGACAAGTGTTGCTGACTGACCACTCCCTTGCTGCTCAGGGGTGTGTGGAAGAAGATTACCCTGCAGCCCCCACACCATTCCAAAAGTGCCACAGCTGGGCTCTCAAGGGTCTTGGAATATGTACATCTGCAGGTTACAGCATGAAGGATTTCACACTGCCCAGAGAGCAGACTTAAATGGAGTCCCTTGTCCAAGACATGAATAAAATGAATGTAGTTGCACATTAAAAGAGAAGACGTTTCCTGAAAACTTTCATTTAACTTAATTCATTTAACATAATTCAATAAGTAAATACAGATAAACCTAAAGAAATGGATACATTCCTGAAATATCCAGTAGTTTCAATCTTATTACATTCTGCAAATCTCCTTTGGTTTTATTCCTTGTGTTATTTAAAAAGTTAGGATTTGAATGGGTTTGTGAAGTCTTCGTAAATGGACAACATCACCCCCAGGTTTGTTTGGAGGCCAACATCTTCCCTGTGACTTGCTTTCTCGGGGCTTCCTGGATCTCTCCTGGGATCGCCATTCTGCTACACACATCAGACCTCATTAAGAGCTATACTAAATTCTCTGCAGAAAAAGGGCAACCTAAAGTCTGCTACTACGTGACATTTTCTACTGTGGTATATTCCTGAGATTTCTGTATATTCCAAGTTTGATTCAAAATCTTAGGGTTGGGAGGCATCTCAAAAGTTACTAGTACAAGCCTGAGTCCTCTTTGTGGAAGGTACATAGCCACACATGCTTAGAAATGCTAGGTGCCTACAAGAGGGTATTCCAAACCCCTGTCAATAGATGGCTAGTACTGGATTTTAGACGATGCTGATATGTCTAAAAAGCATATCAAAGTACTTCCTGGTGGAGATCTTCATTATAAGTCTCAAAGTGACAAAAATCTTATCACACCTGAAAAAAAAATCTCCTTTGCTTCCAATATTTCACTGTCAAAATATAATTTAATAAATTACAGTGAATATAGCCATAAAATGATTGATGTTCCAAGAAAAGATATAACACAAAATATAGTTGGGTATTAGTTTTCTTTTTGTTATGGGAGAGGATCAAAAATACTAAGCAGTCAGATTTTTTTCAATATGCTCTGCATGGCGGGATTTCACACAGAGGTAACAGCTTATCATGTAGAGTGGATACTGGGAACTGTGGCCCTTACCAGGTCTGTGGAAATGCTGGGGAGAGCGCGAAGTGGTTGGAGTGTAACTGTGGCGGCTGTATACAGGGGAGTTGATGGAGCCCTGGCTGGTGGAGCGATGGATCACCCGATCCCGAATGTCCTGGTAGCCCTGGAAACAAAGCATGGGAAAGAGTGAGGGCAAAATACTTTGATGCTACCTATGCACATTTCCAACAAAACCTGGTCCATAGCCAACATCGCTGGGGAGTTATCTTGGCTACCTGTTGGTGTTTACTTCTTAGGGTCACATTCCATAAATATGTAAGCACCCGAGCATTTTGTGTCTAATGCATTTTGTTCAAACCTGCAGTTCTTGTAATTATTAAAAAATTAAGATGTAAAATCATAAACCCTATGACCATGTTTATATTGTGCTTTTCAGTTTTACAAAGCGTGTCCACCTATGTCAGATCTTCCTAATGGTAAGGAAGAGCATGGCATTGCCTTCCTTCCCCACTAACRTGAAAACAAGGTTCCAAGCAGTCAGACACACAAGTGCATAGCTAGCACAGGTAGGGGTTCCCATCCAATGGACATCCATATGCTAACCTCATCCTACATTCTGACCACTGACCCATGCTGTAACACTATATCTGGTGACATTTTAAAGTTGACACACCTGGAGAACTTGATGATTGCCTTAAGGCCAGTAATTCTACTCCTCACCTTGGGAAGTATATTCCAGGGAAAGAATTTAAAATGATCTTTAAAAGTAATAATTCAAAGATTTTTATAATACCACCATCCATAAAGGCAAAGATTGGTATTATATACTCAACAATTGGAGAATAATTCAGAAACGATGACATATCACTTTGATAGAATAAAATGTCACCCATGTCCAAACCCAGAAAAAGACATATTGGGTGATAGGTACAATAAATTAGACATGTACAAATGCAATATAAAACTGTCCAAAAAAGTTGGAAGAATACAAAAAGTATTTTATGTTTCAGGAGTTTGTTGTCCTGTGAAGCTTCTACTAGCACATTCTTTAAAAAAAAATAACAACTTAAAAGAACACATGAATGACTGAATTAAAATCTCAGTGCGGTAGCTTTGTGAAATTGGAGAGCAAATGTCAAGGAAACTTTGGTTTGATTTACTTGGCCATATAAAATATACAATATATATTTAAAATAACACAATGACAACACAAAAAGCCCCCAAAAGATGTGCTTCAGTCTTACAACTAGTCCATAATTAAAGCTGGTTCTTCATAAATTCAGTTATAATTGTTAGATCAGTACTAGAAATCAGTTGCTCACAGTACTTACCCACAAACCATGGAAATATTATGGACTTTTCACGATCTTGAATTATAGAGATTTTCTATGATGAATTTTATAAAGAGTATCCAGAAAGCTGCTTGATGCTAAGACCAGAACACTGAGTTTACACCAGAAGAAGTGGCTTTCCGGAAGATGATTCTGCTTATGGACGACACTATGACCACTGTTGGCCTCATCAGGTGACACAGTGCATTAGGGTTCAGATAACTTAAGTGTAGATGACATGGAGAGCCCCACACTGGATGGTGGCCTCAATACCTCCAGACATTCGCTTAGCAGTTGAAGGTACAAATTCAGATTAACACAAGGCCCCTTTTACTCCACAGATTACATTTAGAAAGAAATGTATTGTTTTTTAAGGTCCCACCTTACATGTATGTAATCCCTATGCCACTATAATCTCGGTTTTTGTTTCTTTATGTGTTGTGTCCTTTTTCAAAAAATTCCAGTCTAGGCAAGATCCAAACCACTTGCAAATTTCACTCATTAAAATGGTCAAAATGGTACTTACTTCTGCTGATGGAGTAGGAGACAAAGTCCTTGGAGACTAGGACAATAAAAGAGAAGTCAAAGTCACAATGTTGTAAAATATTTTTTACCAGTTTTAATTAGATTTGCTTATCAGAGTAGTTGGGAACATTATCCCAAATACACGTGCCAACATCTGTTACCCATCCCTGTCTTCAGATTTAATATTTACTGGGGCCCATGGTAAACTCTGATAAAGTTCTTGGGAGAGATTCTGGTGCACATTTTTTTGCCCAAGAATCATGGTTTTAACAAATATATTGTTAATAGTATTGTTAACTTAATAAACATATTGATGTCTTAAGTGATCAAACTGGACAAAATGGAATTATTTCCCCCTATATATTCAAACTACGCCTAGATTTCCACTGTACTGAGTTATAACATCTACAGAAACATGGGATTTTGTAAACATGTTTTTAACTAAATTATAACTTTGGCAATCACTGAAAAATAGTTTGGTAGGAGTGTGATGACCAGACATGTGGTATCCTGTCCGGGCTGCCTGGCCAATTTCACCACCACGCAGCTTCTGGCTTCCAATCGTCCAGGTACACAGGCTTCCTTAGGGCCACCAACAGGCCAAGTCCTGTCTCACCTCAAGGCCTTTGGACCTTTCTTTCCTCCACTACCAGGGCTTTTCATGTAGACACCTGCAGGGCTCACCCCCATTTTCTTTTCTACGAAGTCTCAGTTCAAAGTCACCCTCACACAGCACCTGCTGTGACCCTCCTGTGTAAAACAGCAACGTCTCCCCCAGCATTCTTTCTTGTTACTTTCCTTCATTTTTCTTCATGACACTACCTCCCTGTAGAATTCTCCTGTGTATCTGTTTACTTCCTGTCTCCCAAGCTCAATGAGGGCAAGGACTCTGTTTATAACAATCTATTCCCAGTGATGAAAGTAGCTCTTGCCACATATTTGGTGCTCAGTGAATATTTTCTGAATAAATAAAATGTTTATAATAAAAATGCAAAAAGTTTTCAACTAGAAGTGAAATGCAAAATGAGCATTCTAAAGAACAATGTCAGCAGTGGGTTTCTTAGTTTTAGAATTTGATCTTTTCCCCACATTAACAATGACATGGCAGACTCTCTTGCACTGCAAGCTTCCTCAGGCCCCATGGTAATGTCTGAAACTATGGCCTGTCTCTAGGGGATCTTTGCTGGTCAAGGATGGCCCCCTGTGGAGAAGCTAGCTCTGCTCCTGCTCTGGTGATGCATTCTGGATCCACTCTCCCAGGTGGAGGGCTACGCAGAACTCAAAGTTACTCCTGTGTTTCTAAAATGTCTATATATGGATTCTACAAAGGAAGTGCTAATAATGAATGGAATAAATAATAGGATAACTTGTAAAGTTGACTCCTTGCAAGATCCATGTGTTGGGGAGAGTTTGACATATCTGATATCTGTTCCAGGAGACATCCTCCATCCACAGAGAAACCCTTAGGTCACCATTCCAGGTTATGATGGTAATGGCATTGAATCTGAGAGCAGCTAGAATTTCTGTTGAGCACTTATRTATGAATTACTGTTCTAATCTAAATACTTTACCTAATCCTTATATAAAGACTTTAGAGGTAGGTAGCAATTATTGTTTCCTACCTTGAGTTTACAGGGAAGGAGACTGAAGTATGACATTTTCTCAGTCATATGGTTCATAAATATAGGGTTAGTAAATACCAGAGTCAGTGTGGGTTTTTTTTGTGTGTGTTTGTTTGTTTTTGTGGGCAATGGGGATTAAATCTTAAATCCAAGGGTACTCTACCACTGAGCTACACCTCTCAGACTTTTTTTTGAGACAAGATTTTGCCAAGTTGCTAAGGTTGGCTCAAACTTGCAATCCTCCTGCCTCAGCCTCCTGAATAGCTGGGATTATAGATGTGCATCACCTTGTCCAGCCACAGTCTGATTTTAAATATTGAAAATTTCACTTCAAAGCCYTAATCCTTAAGAGCCTGATGTTTTACTGCCCAAAATGGATTCACTTGGAAACACAGACCACCATAAAAAAACTCAGCTCCTCCTTGGTTGTATGACTTGAACATTAACAAATTCTCATCCACTTGCTCTAAGACCAGCCCCTATGTAATTTGTTCGGGAACCTCTCCTTGCCCTTGATCACTTAGGTCACCTTGCAACACTCTTTGTTGCCCAATGGCAACTCAACAGCCCAGGCCATTCAAACTGCATTTGAGAGTGGCCACAGATGCAATACAGCAAAGTAACCACTAGGTGGCACTACATGAAAATGGATGTCACCTCTGGTTTAATGGACCAGGGCAATGAAGAGTTATGATCTGAAATAAAACCCCAATTAGAAAATAAATAAATAGGAGGAATGTTATATAAATATAAATCAATGTAAATATAATTATAAAACAATAAATATTATCTGTGTATAACTGACGACAAATTAAACAGATTCACTATACTAATATGCTTTTCCTTTATCTCATTTAAGCCTGAAAACACTGTGTGATTGTCCACTCTCGTTTAACTTTGGCTGATTTGAGGCAACTACTTGGTTAACATCTCCCTCAATGGACTCAATTAGTCTACAGATGATTCCAATTTAAAACTAAAGTGGGAAGGGGTGCTGGGGCAGTAGCTCTGAGGTACAGCATGTGTTTAGCACGCTCAAGGCCTTGGGGTTAGTCCCCAGCACCAATAAATACATAAATAAATAGGGAAAAACAGAATGAGTTGAAGAGGCCAGGAGAAAAAGACCAGAGGGAGGAGCCCAAGGGATGTGAAGCTGTGGCCCGGCAGTGGGGTGTGTCTGTTGGCCAAGCACCACTAAGCCCCAGGAGGACAGGTAATAATGGTAGCAGCTGCCATTTGCTGAACATTTACACGTCTGTCCCTCTGTTAACTGCTCTACATCGACTAGTTTATGTAATCCTTTCTAGCCCCCAGTGAGGTAGCCTATTTTCCAGATGAGGGAGGTAGAATTGGAATGGCTGTCACATGGCAAAGTCAGACCACCAGTGTGTGGTGATCCCTGGGTGGAGCCCAGGTAATTTGATTCCAGATCTCACCTCATCCCAGTGTACTTTGCTGTTACCACAATCTCTACTTTTTTTCTTTTCTTGTACATTCTGATTACGTGAAGATGCTGAAAACTGTAGCTACCAAAATTTCGAAGATATGCTCTCTCTCATCAAGGTCCCCATGAATATACTTCAGGCTCATTTGAAGGTCAAGACCCTCAGAAGACCCTCCCTCCCTTAGTCTTCCCTGACAACTCTACAGCTTCTGTCCCAGCCTGACTCTGCTGTTTTATGTGCAGTTCACTGGTTCTCCCACCTCTGTAACCTCCCTTGGGACAGAGATTACGTGACAGGTTTTGAATACCTTAAAGCACCTGGTGCGGAAACCCACAAACAAAAGACAGTCAAAAAGACTGATTTATTTTAACTCCAAACATCAGTTGTTGCACGTGCGACTACAAAGAAAGTGAACTGCGGCACATCCTGCAACCACCAGGAGTTTATTACCTCTCCAAGGCTCTGTCTCTCCTGCTTGTCATCATAGCCCGAGGTGTAGAAAGGCTCATAGGTAATGAGATCAGGACGTTCAATGTCATAAATTGCCTTGACCTTGGGGATGGCGGCTAAATCCTTGTAATCCAGGATTTCGTTGTCTACTTTTGCCTAGTAAAGTTAAATGGAGGGAATTGTTACTCTGCAGTCTCATTTCTTGAGAAACTATTGCCAGTAAATTTTATGTCTTGTTTAAAATKCGAAGACCTTAAAACAAACCAAAACCCTTGCTTAGCACAGCCATGCTTTCCAGTGAATTACCAATTTATACCATCAGTTAATCAGGTTTTTCCCCCCTTAAATCATCCAAAGCTTAAGAAAAATTATGTGCAGAATTTKTTAAATATAAAAATGTGTAAACCTGAAGAATAATTTTCTAATTTACTACAGGAAAGGAAAGAAATCTCAAACAGATGGTCAAGAAATCGGTTCCCAGATGGCTAAAACCAAGAACTGCCTATTTAATAAACTAAATATTTAAATATCTTTGATGTCAGAATTGAAGAATACTCAGCAACAGTGTTATAAAAATATATAATTAATCCCTATATATCTGTATGTAAGTTAGGTGTGACAATTTTAGAAGTCCAGGACTGGAGGAGACGCTCATTATAATTTGCAAGATCCAGGGTTTGATCCTCAGCACTGAAAAAATTTTTTATAAGTCCTGCATTTTGCAATCATCTTGTGATCTGATGACCACATACAAATTGAATCACCTGAAGGAAAATATGACCTGGAGGGCTGACATACCAAGATGAACACTGGATCTCTAWCAGAGATGAATCATTTTGCATTAGCTTCTGTTTTGGATTGTCCATTCTGCTATTTCAATCCCCAAACTTAGCTGCCCCACAAATGTCCCTTCTGGAAGCAGATACTTACATAGATAGTGTGACCTGGTGAACCAGGGATGCTGGATCCTGGTCTGGAATAAATACTTTCTGAAGAGGTCCTGGTTGGCTGTAAAATAAATGGTGACTTGTGAGATTTCAGGCCATGGCGTCAGAATCAAGAAGGCCTGGGGCCCTAAGCTTTACTAAAACTAGTTAAAGGAGGAGAGATGTGGTATCTTTTCTTTGCAAATAAGGGAAAATACAACCTTGAAGGAAAGGGACATGTAGACTAGTTTTGAGACCTGGCACCGAAAGTGCATTGGGGGCCTTTCTCAGTGTCTTCCTCTTCTTGCTCCCCACAAAAACCTCTGGCTTTCTCATGCAGCACACTGCTCCCCCTCTGCATGGCCACAATCCCAGCCCTGTCACCACCTCAGCTCCTCTGGACTATTGCAATGCCCTCCACTGTGGGCTTCCAGCTCTTGCCCTTGACTTCTTCAAATGCACGTGGCACCCAGTGGATCTTTCAAAAGAGATTTATGTTATTTCTTTTAAAGAACATAATTTGAACTTCCCATATCCTGGTTTTGGCTTCAGTGTCAACTCGGAATAAAACCACAACTCCCAGGGCCTCGCCAACACTCCGATGCCTTCTCCTACCTTGTCACTCGTCACCTGTCATCATTCACAGAAGCAGGAGCACCTCCCTGCCTGGGGGTTCTTATCCCCGATGCTCCCTCAGCCTGCAGTGCTCTTACCCACAACCTGACTGGGTTGACTCTTTTTCCTCCTTCAAGCCTAAAGTCTTAGATATCACCTGCTCAGGGAGGCGCCCCCTGTTCTCCAGGCCAGAGTTCTCACAGTGCCATTCTTACTTTTTTCCTTTGTGAATAAAAATTCCAATGGATACATTTATTGGTTTTGCTGCATCAGGTCTACCTCCCCCTTGACTTTGGTCATGCTCTCCACCCTCACACAGTAGTCACCACTGCATACATCCAATGCTTTGCACAGGTACRCAGAAGGCATAAACATTTGTGGAGAGAATGAGCTCGAATTTACTTGCAGGCACCAACTCATGTCTCTTCCATGATCTGAGCCTAACACAGAGAACATCCTGAGCTTAAGAAGGTGGTACTTGAGAACCCCGAGAGTGTGGTTACKCAGGCGGGACCCACGGGAAGTGGATGAACTAGGGTTGAGAGCCTCCCCCTCTGCTTGGCACCATTTTGGAAAGTTTTACACAGAAAACCAAGGTCCTGGTCTTGACAGACTTCCTCATGTCTGTGCAGTTATTTTCTGGAGTGGATGACGTTAAGGTCTACAATAGAATAGGACATTTCCCTTTGGCACTGTTCCTACCAATAAGTGACACCTTGAATACAGGTATAACTGAGCCCAAAGAACTCCTAACAGCACAGGTGCTGTGTCTCCAATTCACACCTGAAACAAGGAGYGCAGACACAGCTGGCCACTCAAGGCAGGCGTGGTCAGACTCATTCTCAAAGCCACACTCACAGGAGGGCTGTGCCCGGAGATCCCTGACTGGGCAGTGGTGGAAGAAGTGTCACTATGCCCAGATGGAGGCATGCATCATTCAGCGCTTCCACGACCTGCCACATACAAGCGCTCTCCTCCAACTGTGATTGAAGCTACTATTTCCCAATCACAGGTGAATTTCAATATGAGAAAATTCTACATCAGAGCATGTTGGAAAAGAAAGGATCTGTGTTACACTACTCAAAGAATGTCCAGTTTCTAGATCCATTTCTCAATCAAACTACAGAGGTGGCATTACCCAAATATAACCTTCCTTTAAAAATTGTTTTTAAAACGTCCTTTTAATGAAAGTTGAAGTGACATCCATCTCTGTGGGATAATTAAATACAGGTAGTCCTTCASGTTCAAGTAGCCAGGACTTAATATWTGCTAAACTTGGTATCAAATTAAAACCTCTTATTTAAGYAGCAACACAGGAATATCAATAATAGCCAGTGTTTATTGCCCAATTCCTATGTGACAGGCCTGTGCTRAGCCTGTATCAGCTTAACCACATTGAATCCGCTCAGTGACATAGGTTTTCACCCCATTTTACAGATGAGAAAGAGGTATGAGTGATCAAAGCTGCAGAGGTAGGAAGGGTCTGAGTTAGGATTTGAACCCAGGTAACTCCTGCACTTGATTTTTGTCTACATCATGAGGTGAGTGCACTCATGTATTTCCCAACACAGCTATGGAACAAAGAGGGTGAGGGTACTAAGCAACACGTTGACACCAGTAGCAGAACAGAAGGAATGCTAACTGAAAATATGCTCATTGTCCTGTGGGCTCGCTGCCTGAGTGCCCTGGGGTGGAGGTSGGTGGGAGAGGCGGGCTGCAGGGGTGACAGGTCTTCATTTACTGGAGCTGCTGTGACAAGGGCCTGTGTTCCTTAACAAGCACCTGGGCATTAATTGAAAAGCCAAGTCACATGCTGAGCTTGGTGGTGTCTTGTATGTAACTCATCCCTGTTTTTGCCAAGAGTGGGCCAGGGACATCACTGCCATTTCCTGCGATAACACACCTGGGGACAGCTCTGAACTGCTTGGTGGCTCTTGTCCTGTCCACGATGATAAGAATAGAGTTGAAGACCAACCTGAGCACTAGTGGGAAAGGACCCTTATGCTGTCTCCCAGTGACAAAGAACTCCCCTGAGACAGGGCTCAGGACAAGCTAGCCTGTTCAAGCTGCGTTTCTCCCTCCTTCCTCCTCGGATTAGCAGAGCTTGTGAGTTATGCAGGCTTTCTCCAAGGCGTTCATCCTGTTTGGACTATGAATATTATTGGGCTAAAGGTTTTAAGGGATAATGAACAATTTGCATTTTCATCAAGTTTGATTCTTTAAACGTTTTCAGATCTGAATCACCTCCAATCTGCATGGGCCTGCCCCTGAGTTCTCTGATTCTGAAATAATCCAGACTTCTAGAGTCAGTTTTCAAAGTCAATTCAGCTGGTCACCAAGCCTACCAAGGCTCTTAGAGTGACTGCTCTGCCCCTCGAATCTTTAGACTAGTTAGTGTTATCTGGAAAACGCTCAAGATGTTTCAGAGCTTCAGAAATGACCCTTGCATGGAACTTCCCGCTCACCACTGTTTACTTTTGCTCCATCCTGACCCATCAAACTCTTTTATAAAATTTACTTCCTTAGACCTCCCGTTCATGGTCAAGTTACATTCTTACTTCCTACTCCTTACAATGGCCCTTCTTTGTCTTCCTGTCTGTATTGAAGTAAGGGGATCAAACACAACTCTGCGTAGTGTAATATGGTGAAGTTAAAATCTGGTTCTGGAGTCGAATAATTCAGCTCAAATCCAGGTTCCGCTAGTTGTGCAGCATTATGGGAATTTTTCTTTCTTTCTTTTTTTTTCCTTTTACCTTTCTTGAGTCCCAACTTCTTCATTTATAAAACAAACAGGGGAGAGAGTACCAGCGACAGCTGCTTCATAGTCTTAAACGAGATGATACCTTCGAAGGTCCAGCCAGGCGTGAAGCAAGTGATCAGCATTAGACTTGATTTCTTGGCCAATTAGTCTCAAATACCAAAGGGCACTGCCTGCATTCACTTCCTCAGGATGGAATATTCTTTTCAGATGTGAGCCACACTGACAAGGCCGCCCGTAGTTCTCCCTACCACCACGTTAGGCCTGCTTCCCCTCAGAACACAGATGTGTTCACAATTCCTAGAGTCTGGTCGCAGGAGCTGACAGTACCTTCCCCTTCTTAGGAACCCTGAGAAGCGCTTCTGCACCCTCTCGCAGACTGACTTCCTGCCTGGCCTCACTTCAGTAACTCATGCCCCTCCCGTGATGGCTGGCAGTGACCTTGCACAGGCCTGTCTTATCTGCCAGGACGGCTCTGCATCTGCTGCCTCCTGAACTGTGCTCCAGGGTTCAAGAGCACAGTGGCTCCCTGCTTCCTGCCGGGGTCCCTAATGGCTCTGGGAGTGCATTTGCTCTCAGCTGGAGGTTAAAGGTCTTGCCTTTAAGAAGATAATAAATTACTTTTAAAAACTGAACAATTATCTTTGCAGTGTATAATCTTACATATTTAGAATTTTGAATTCAATAGGAAATACCTAAAATTCTGAATATGTTGAATTTTAAATGAATATCTTATTTATTGTTGAGTCCCTTTTATACTTCCAGCCATGTTTTCCCCGCTAATGGACACATGATTTGCTGTTATGACTAATAAATCTTCAAGAGGCAGACAGTTCTCCTCTAACAGAGCAGACAAATCCACACACTGAAACTCATCTCAACCTTGAGGCAGACTTCCTGATGCCCTGTCTTCCTCCCAGATCCCACCAGTTGTTTCTTATCATTTATCTAAGTCCAGCATCTCCTCATTGAGCTGCAACAAAATTTTATAGATAATTCTCATTTCCCTGTCTGATCCCTACATGCAATGACTTAACCTAAATTACCCTTTCAACCCATTCAGATATTCAGAGTAGCCACAGTGACCTGGTAATTATGAACTGAAGTCACTAACTCAATGGGTCAGCAGCCTTTGTTTCCGGAACTCTGTACAGGAGTTTATGATGAACAAAATTCCTCTTGTGTCTAGATTTCAAACATATAATAAATATGAAGTATCCCCAAAGGTATGTTCATTTCTAAGGAGAAAAGGAAATAGCAAGGTTTCCCAACTCCTAAGCTGCTAAAAGCAAGTGGAGTGTGGCTTATTTCTAAAAGCAAGTGGAGTGTGGCTTATTTCATTTAGCATGATGGTCTCCAGTTCCATCCACTTACCAGCAAATGCCAATACTTCATTTTTCTTTATGACTGAGTAAAACTCCATTGTGTATATATCCCAGATTTTCTTTATCCATTCATTTGTTGAAAATCACCTGGGCTGGTGATTTGGCTATTGTGAATTGTGCTGCTATAAACGTTGATGTGCCTATATCACTGTAGTATGATGATCTTAGTTATTTTGGATAAATACCAAGGAGTGGGACAGCTGTGTCATGGTGGTTTCATTCCTAGTCTTTTGAGGAATCTCCATTCTGCCTTCCAGAGTGGTTGTACTAATTTGCAGTCCCACCAGCAAGGTCTGAGTGTATCTTTCCCCCTACATCCTCACCAGCATTTATTAATATCTGCATTCTTGATGACTGCCATTCTAACTGGAGTGAGGTAAAATCTCAATGTAGTTTTGATTTGCATTTCCCTGATTGCTGGGGAAGTTGAACATTCTTTCATATATTTTTAAAAATATTTATTTTTTAGTTGTAGGTGGATACAATATTTTTATTTTATTTTTATGTGGTGCTGAGGATCGAACCCAGTGCCCCATGCATGCTACGTAAGCGCTCTACCTCTGGGCCACAACCCCAGCCCCATTTTTTTCATACATTTGTTGGCCATTTGTATTTCTTCCTTTGAGAAACATCTGTTTAGTTCATGCTAAGTGAAATAAGCCAGACTCAGAAATTCAAGGGCCAAATGTTTTCTCTCCTATGCGGAAGCTAAAACAAAATAAAGGAGTGGGGGGAAATACCATGAAAGTAGAAGATCAGAGGAATAAAGAAGGGGTGGCGGTTGAAGAGAATGGGAAAGGGGAGGGACGCAGAATGAGGTTAACCAAATCATGCTGTGTGCATGTGTGTGTACCGCAGTGAATTCCACCTTTATGTATTCCTATCAAATACAAATTTATAAAAACAATAAATAGATGGGGGGAGGCCAGGGAAGAGGGGTAGGGACTGAAATGGAATAAATTTATTTCATATAAGTATATGTCAAAATGAACCTCACGCTTATGTATAGCTAYAATGTGCTTATAAAAAATGAATTAAAAAAATATTTAAGTCCCTGAAGCCCAGTCTCCATTTAAACAAGTTATTATATCTGACTGGTTTACTCATYAGCTACTGAGTTAAATAARATYATCGAAATGTTCATTTAAAAGGAAAAAACAAATGGAATTTGCTAACTTCCCTTTAAGCACTTTTTTCCTTGTAGAAAAAAACACAACTGGAAAGTACAGTTGGAGAAGCTCGGTTATTTCTTTGATGCCATCTTTGGCAACAACATCAACACCCACAAAATGTGGGCTGGCAGGACAGAGAGGGCAAGGGGGACGGAGAGGGGACTGTATCAGGTGTGATCTCTCAAAGTATTTTGCCAGTGAATGAGGCAAATTGTTGAATCCCTATTTTGGCAACGGGAAGAAGAAAGGAGCCTTCCCTAACAGGCTTCTAAGAGCACAGAGCTGTCCCACTCAAGGCCACGAAGATGGGGTCTGTGTGCTCACCACTGATTTCCCCAGCACACCTTCCCACATTCACTGTTCACAAGATTTTTAATTTTCTTTAAAAATAACAAAGAAAGACCTCACTGGAAGACTAGCAGTTCATTTAAAAGGGAAGGGGAATAAAAGGTGTGTTGGGGGGACATTTAATCAATAGTGAGTAGCTGGATGCTTGGAAAAGCACACCTTTTTGCTTTCTTCAGGAAATCCTTTAAAAGCCCTCTACCCCAGTTAACCCACACTCCCATCCCTACCCCAAGCTTTGCCTTGGTTCATCTGCCTGACCATTTGGGAGGCACCGTCACTGTCACCAGGAGAAGATGAATGGAGGAGAGCTCCTGATGTTTCCCCCCGGCTGACACCTCTCTTCAAACGCTGACCATTCAGAGCACTTACCAGCGCTCTGCCTGTTGAGGACGTGGAGAAATGACATTTTTTCATGTACCTTCCAAGTTGGGCCATGATGCCCGCAGGCCCCCAGGACAGTATTGGGAGGCTCTCTGATACCCCTGTACCCTCCCCGTCCAGGAGGAGCAGAGAGGCAACAACCACTAATTGCATCTGTCCTCTGCCAGGCTCTAAGAAGTCTAAGAGGGCCACAGAGACTACAGGCACCGGCGGCCAGATCAGAATGCTCTCTCTCGGAGCGCCTATGGAACAACTATAGGTATAAGATGACTGGCACCTGATCCTAGTACTCTTGATGCTGACGGTACCTGCCTTGGGCTTTGGTTGGTGTTCAGACGGGGTGGTGCCAACTGCTGCAGAAGAAGGGACACTTTTAACATCTGCACACATTGAGTGTAAGTCAGGGAGAAAGTAACTCCTTTGGAGTGTTTGGAGAGGAAGCGGAGGGGGCTAGGACACAGCTGCACAAATGTCACCAGCCTTGACCATGGCTGAGAGGCCTGGATGTCTTCCTAGCACATATCTTAACACCTCTGGGTCTGACTGACTGTGTTGCAATGACCCCCAGAGGGGATGAGATCCCCAGGCCTATGGACAAAGAAAGCAGGATGTGCTGTGGTGACACTGTAGTGACAGTGAGAGTCTACAACATTATTTCCTTGTCCTAGATGTACATAAGGTTTCTCATCATAAAATCATATCACGGCTTTAAAAAAAAAACATATACGTGGTATTTGTTTTGGTTCTAGATTTTCAAGAATATACATTGTAATAAGTGAATGTTAGTTTCACAAGAAAAAAAAAAAACTCATGCCCATTTTGTAAGTTAGTCAATTCATGCTTTTAGGCTTCAAAGTACAGCAAAGAAACTCCTTTTTAACACAAAAGCAAGTGACCCATTCTGGGTTATTACAGCTTGGTCCTGGGAGTACCATGCACTTTGCCTCCAATGAATTAGAAATACTCAGAACTGAGTTTGACTTATAGACAAAAGTCATTGGTATTCACATAAAATCCCTCCAAAGAAGTAAAACCAGAATATGTTCTTTCATCTTTTTTTCTTTTACCTCTAATTTGAAGGTAAGGAAGGAGTGATTTCTGAATGTAAATAATCAAACGACTTTTCTCCTTATAAATATAACTTCCCTCTGCGACAAAACCAGGACTTCTTTCTGGGGCACAGAGTACTGGCTGTCCCTACGAGGACAAGCTCATCCAATAGCTAAGGGGGCTTCGTGACGTGGTGAAAAGGAGCTGCTGTGTAGGTCAAAGCACTGGAAAGATGGAAACAACCGTGACTTGAGAGAGGTGTCCCTTGGAGTGTCCAGGCTTCTTAAAGGTCCTGGGGAGCCACCCTGCTGGCAGAGGGGAAGGGAGGCCCTGCCAGGTCCCAGGCTGTTTACAGTGTTCTGTGATAGGGCTAAGTTGACTTCACTGATATTTACGGCTGGTTAATGGGAATCAGATGTTCCTTTTGAACAACAGGATAGAAAGGGAGAAGTTATTAGAAACAGATATTCACGTTCTCTCTCTTAAGGGTCTAGAGCAAACCAAAAAATAAATAAATAAATAAAATCACACTTCGTGGTATTTTTCTTCAAGTCATGAAAATGTACCACTTAGCCATAGTCTTAGGCCAAGAGAATATGACACTAATTGAATTAAGAATATACTCTTGGGGGCAGGGGAACTATTGAAAATGCAACTTCCTTCCAAGTAGAGGCATTAAGTCTGAGCAGGGCTCTCCACARAGGGGTCCATTATAAGCCTCTCCTTTGGGTTCAGAAGCCTCTCATTTTGCTGTGTGGGGGAACTCTGTCATTGGGGCTGAGCCTTAAAATAGAAAGAAGGTCCCACACAATCCAAGTCGGAACCTGGTACCATGGGCACTTCAAGGCCCCCAAAGCCTGGAGTCAGAGAACCGGAGTCTACAGTCTCTGCAGCCATTGGCCGGTGCAGCCTTGGGCATGCTGCTCCATCGGCTTCATTCTGCAGGGGGAGGAACTCGGAGGCTCAGCTCCATGAGGTTTCTTTCTACTATAAAATTCTATACTTCATATGAACAAGAATTGTGATAAAATCAGATAGAAGCTCAAACTCTTCCTTACTGCAGTTCTGGCAGGCACAGGACAAGCCCTGACAGGAGTACTGGGCTGAGTCCCAAACTGTCACCAAGGCTGTGGAATGGGTTTCGTCTGGGCCAGCGTGGGAAAGCGGAAAGTCACTTGCAATTTCACAGGCCTGACTTCTCGGGGACCCTCGAGAAAGTGAGTCTGGGCAGCAACATGGTCTCCTGCCTGGCTGCTCCTGTGGAAGACAGAGTCCCTCACTGCTCCAGGAGGGCACACAAGGCAGGCCACACTCTTCTTCCTCATGCTCAGCAGCGGTCCCCCAAGAGGGCCCTTGGAGCACTTCGGGCTCTCCTCCTCCTGGCATTGAGGTCTCTCTCTCTCACTGGCCCCTTGCAGCAGAGTAAAAAGAAAATGACTGTGGGCTCCYGGAAACCTGAGATCCAATCCTAGCTTTTCTACTTATCAGTGGGGAAACTCGGAGAAGTTCTTTAACTGTGAGAGGCCTCAGTCTCAGTCTCTGTAAAATGGGGTTAAGATTAACAACCTCCACAGGAACTACTAGGAGAGCAAATGAGAATCTAGATGGATACTCAGCCTCCACAGACGGGGGCCCACTCTCCCTTCGAAAATCCATTCCTGACCCAATCCACTCCCTCCCGGCACGGCTTCCCCCTGCTCGAAGCTTTTGGGTTCTCTTTGGGCCTGTTCCTTTCTCCTCATCTYCACCTGTTCCAATCCTCTCCAGCCTCCAGAATTCAACTTAAAGACTGCATCTCTCAGGAAGTGTCCCTGGAGACCCTGGCCTCATGTGACATCCCCAGAGAATGTGGTGTTTGAGATCCAGGACTTGTGATGTCTTTTCTCCCCTACGAGGCTAGATGTACAGCTTCCAGGCTGGCACTGCACCCGGGAGTGTGGCCAATATTTGTTCCTTGAACAAACATGGGTGTGCAGGACCACACGGCAGCTTTCTGTGCCCCGGCTCTGAAGGCAAGCACCCATCAGAGCGAACAGCCCAGGTCAGAGCGTGAGGCGCACTCAGGTGAGGGCAGCACCGACTTCTGCAGGAGGGGGACAAGTTACGTGAGGAAGGCAGCCACAGAAAGCGACAGAGAAGCCCAGGCCCACGGCAGCGGCTCCCAGCTCCGCCCAGACACAGCGCCAACCTGCAGAGACGGAGTCCGTCCTGTGCGGCGAATCAGACTTTTGGGATAAAAGAAATCGGAGGAAGAGCGGTGGATGTTTGGTGGCTGCCATGAAACCTGAGAAAAAGTAATAATAAACCACAAGATCCCTTATTCTGAAACCCGAGAAAATAAAAAAGCTGAGAGGAAACCAATTTGATGGCAAACAGCAAGTGACATCACTTCCATTGATGCCATTTGGGGGTCAGTTTGGGGCCCAAGTTTAAAGCATCTCAACTCGTCTTGAAATTACAATATCCTTATCTACACCCACCCCSCTTTCCATTTAGTCTGGCTCGATGTGCTGACGGTATATGAAGCCAACCCAGAGGCGRTCATCAGATTCTGTTCTTACAAACGCCCCATGAGGTCTTCAATGACAAGAATGTGGATTACTTGGGAGGGCTGCTGAAAGATCCTTAAAACATTTTCATTTTGCTATGGAGACCGCGCTGATGTGACATGTGGTGAAAGGCCTAGGAACCTTGGCTGGGGATTTGTGATGTGTGGACACACCCTCAAGACAGTGCAAGATTCCATCTTCTCTTCAGACTCTGCTCGCCTCTCAGCCCTACCAGCACCCCTGGGCCCCAACTCTGGGCACCCTCAGACCCCTTCCCCAGGGGTGCCCTCCTCCTCACTACTGGGCTTCCCAAGGACAGTCAGCCAGAGTGCTGACCTGGCCTCCCAAGTAGTGGAGGCCAGGTTCAGGAGGAGAGCGCTGGCATTCTCTGGAAAGCTCACTGAGGGAACAAAACAAGAGCTCCTTTTGGCCAGAATGAAATATTTCACTAGTTGTTTTCATAAGCGTCTCCAGAGAGTGTCATCGAGATGTGAATCTTTATTTATTTACTTACTTATTTATTATCATTTTAGGAACATCGGTCCCAAACTCAAGTTATCTTTATAGAAAAAAAGATGCACATTCCATTCAGTCTGGTCTCATGAGCACGCCTCAATTTGTCCCTGGCCCCTCCAGCCAAAGATTTCATCAGGGATTAAGTAAAAATGACTATTCAAAAAACTAAAAGCAACCCTGTMGAGAGGGGAAGATGTGCTGGCTCCCTGGGTGGTTTCTGGGCAGCGGCCTCAGCTGTGTTGTGAATCGTACATTCTTGGGGCAAAAGTGACAGTGAGTACTGTCCTTAGTGTTCTCCTCTGTTATGAAGATAACTCATTTCCCAAGCATGTATGGTTCCTCTAAAGCCCCTCGCCAGTCTGGTGACAACATTCAAGAGAAATCCCGTGTGCTCAAGCTGAAGTTGTGTGTCAGGACGCAGAACAGAACATCTGGGCATTCSTGGGCAAATCCCTCCCCTGCTCATTCATATATATATATTTTATAGTTGGACACAATACCTTTATTTTATTTATTTATTTTTATGGGGTGCTGAGGACTGAACCCAGGGCCTGTGTGTGCTAGGCAAGGGCTCTGCCACTGAGCCACAACCCCACCCCAGCCCCTGCTCATTCTTACCTTTATTCAATTATACTAAGAAAATTTTTCTTTTAACTTCTACTTAAAATCTGCTCATAATAACTGTGAATTCTAAGAGTACTACTTTTGTTCAGGGTTACAGGCAAGGGACAAGTTTCTAAAATATCCAAATGGCAAAGTGTCTCTATCTGATATACAGATGACATCTGAGGAAGAAAAAGAGAGAGAGAGAAATAAAAGCAAAGGGGAGAAAGCTCCTATGCATATGTCTGTTGCAATGAAGAGAATAAATAAAAGGCACCAGAAAATAAGAGCTKCGATTACTCAGGTGGCAAGCAAAGGGATCTGAAATCTGAGAACCATTTCTCAGAAGCCTAGTCATCCCTTCACAAGTCACACTTCGGTGACCAGGTCCCACGGGTGAACCATGGCTCTGCTGGAATTACACACGTCACGTAACACAGGCCTGCTCAGGGCAGATAAGAAAGCATTCCACACACTGGAGTCTGGCCTCCAAAATAAATCCAGATCATTCTTTTCCTTGAGATAGCAAATGCTGTGAGGTCACGCTCCCGTGTTTCCATTGTACCCTCAAGTTAGCTAAACTGAGGGACTGAGATTCAGTCTGATTATTGCTCTGGGGGAAAAACAAACAACAAAACAAAAACCTTCATAGACCAGATGAGAAACTAGGGACATGTGATCAGGATCCAGATTATAATCACAACGTGACAATGGTATTTGCTTCTGAAACATAAAATACTGTCATCTGGRGGAATTCTGAATATCGACCAACCTGCATGTCTGAGCTCGTCGTTATTTTCCCCTAAGATTTTATCTGACAAGTCATCAATTCGGAGCTGGAGGTTGTTCCAGTGAGTTTGGATTTGAGAGCAATGGATGGAAGCAGGGCATCACGGGCTCAGTACAAAGCCATCTTGCAGGAAGGTCACCAGATGTTGGCTTTAGAACCGGGTGAATTATTTTTCCCCATCTGCATTGACTTTTGCTTGAATGCCTTAAGCTGACCAGAAAGGCAGGGCTTACTTTATCCAACACAAGCATGTGGAGCAAAAATCACAACAATAAATTTAAGGCAGAAAAGAACCCCCTGAGCTGGCCAAATGGCCTTTGAACTTGGTTTGCTATGAGAAAAAAACAAATCAGTAAAAAGTAATTTCACCCCAACCCTTGCCCCAAGAATTTGTGACTATGAAACCTGTGGCCTCCAAATGCACCTGGCATTATGGCTCTAATGGTTTTCCTTACCCGCAGTTTTTCCTCTGTCTTGGTAGATTGCTTACAGTCGGGATGCCAAACGGTGGACCCTGGAAAGACATGAAGCACCGCTCAGAGTAAAGGAAATGGAGAGAAGCCGCAGTCCTAGTGAACTGAGCTTCTGAGAGTGGCTCATATTCCTCTTTCCCTGTCATAGGAGAGTGTTAGGGCTCCATGCCCAGGTGGCTTATGACACTGAAGTCAAACAACTCTAAACCCTAGGTGAGGTTTCCTCATCTGGCCCAAGCTTGCTCATAAAGGTCATAGTTCTAGATCACAAGAATGGTTTAATGCAAGAGATATTTTAGCTCTTGACAGGTCTATTTAGTTTTTCTCTTTAAATCATATTATTATCCTTTAAAAGTAATGTCTGAGTGCTTGCTACATGCTGCATTTAATTTCAGAAATATAAGCCATGTTGATAGAACATCAAAACAATCAAGCTATTTGGTTGGAGAAATAAAGTCAAACTAGGTAGTCTATATCCAGAATATTCTGGCTATAGATAGTTTGTATATAGAAGATCCAGATGTAAAATTCACTAAATTCTCATTGACCCAATTCTATAGTCACCTATCCTGAAGCAGGAAATTAAAATAACTGACAGCCAGGTTAAAATTACATTATGAATCCTGCAGCCACTTAATTAACTTTTTTAAAAAAAGTTTTGGTTTTAAACTAGTCACACAACTATTTTGTTGTTATTTCTTATACCTGGATCAATAGTTTCTCAGACTATGAAGTACTTTCATGGGTAGAACCCACAGCACAGAATTAAGCAAAACACTTACCTCTTAAAGAAAGCTCTTATCTCCAGAATCCAGGGCCTGGCATATGATGGTATAGACCATATATGGACTATATGTCATGTATATAAGTATGGGCCATTTATATCACTGTGCAAGTTCCACGTCTACCTAAGAGTTTGTTCAGATATCGGGAGGGGCAGAAGAGTCTGAGCACTTAAAAAACCCAAGTCAATCTTTTTCTAAGTGGAAAGTAGTGAGAAATTGACACACATAACAGTCTCAGCAGGAACATCAATCTTTCTGCATTTTATAGCTTCAGTCTTGATTTCTTTAAGCACAACCTCTGTGTACTTGAAAGTCACCAATATTAAACTGACCTAAATTGCTTTATACCACTGAGCTAAAATAATATTCAATTAATGACAAGGAAATATATTTCATACCAGAAGAAAACTGTAAACTCTGTTTAAAAATCACCTCTACCTTGCTTCTCCCAGAGCCAAAAATAAAAAAAAGAAAGAAAACCAAACAAGCAAACCCCAGACAGACACACGGGTCCCTTCAGCACTAACCCTGGCTCAAAGGCTAACTACAAAGCACAGGAAATCTCTTAATGTGGAGAGCCRAGGTCAGGCCCAGGCCGGGAGAACCTTCGCTGTGAAGGTGCTGCTGAGTGAGGGCACTGGCCGGAACACAGTCTGCACACAATGGCAGCATTGTTCTCCAGAGGTCAGACACACCAGCAATGTGACTCTCAGATGCTGAGAAAGATGAAACTGCTCATTCTTCAAGGATGTGCCGAGAGGGCAGGCAAAGGGTACCACAGCACAACTCCAGAGATGTAGAACAATCYCTGGAATTCTAAAGGTAGCCCGTCTTGTAAATGTGCTATATTTGTGCACAACTTGAAACCACTCTCCTGCGTTCAGCTTCCAGAGCCGCTGTGGACGTGCAGAACTGCACCCGAGCAGACATAGGTTGACGTGTACGCCTGTGTCTGTCCTGGGAGTAAGTGACACACCAAAATCTAAAAGCAGGCCCAGAGACCACATGGGGAATCGATCTGCTTTGTGCAGAAAAATGCAAAGCGACACCTGCCTATTGCCACTACAGCTGTACAGCCTGTCCTTGGGAACCCATGTCCTATGAAGCCCCCATGAGACCACAGATGCAGTGCTTGTCACTGGCGTTCCCATGAGGCCCTTCAGCATTCAGTGGTGTTTTCCACTGCAATTTTTCAGAGTGATCACTCTAAAGCTGAAATGACACTGGGTTGTCCATTTCTTGCCTTGCCAGCAATTTTCGAGGGAATAGCCAAGACGGTCCTTTAACCCTCGAAAATCATTTCTACAGACTTTTAGTTGCACAGAAAGAAAATCGAGAGAGCAAAGCAAACCATTCATTAAACAGCCGCATGGTGTTATGTGTAAAGGGGAGTGAAGAAGAGGCAGGGGAACCGAGACCCAGCAATTATCAGAACTGAATAAGCAACCGCTCTTACAGTTCTCGCTAATTTTCCTGATGAACCTTGTCTAATTAATGACTCTTTTTAAAGATAAAAATAGTAAAATGTTTGTGCAGATGGTGCTGTTTGGTTGACAGAGAATCTGCACCTAAATCCTCTCTGAGAGGCTTTGGGATTTGGGACAAAATAAAAATGGATCATCGTTTCACAATGGGAACATTCCTCAAAATTATTTTCAATTAAGAAAAATCTAAGGACTCCCTGGAAAGAAGTATTTCCTTGTCACCAGAAACGTCTCCGTTTCTTGTGTAGGGACTTTGCCTGTGTGCTTGTTCATTCTCTATTTTGATAGGAGAACTGTACTGTTTGAACAGGATGAAATGTGTCTGTGAGCTTTTCTTCTGGAAAGCCAGAGAAGAGCATGCTGGGAGACTTCAGACCATCCTCCCAGGACAGTGAAAGGAGAAAAGGAAAAGGAGYCACCAAATAAGGGACACTTCCAGAAATTTCTAGAAAGCTTTCTCTCCTGCGATCTTCTGTTTCCCAAACATATTCCTGAGGAGAGGTGGGGGAGGAATTGCTGATTGCCACTCTTCCCTCTTATGGAATGTGGAGTCTTATTCATTCTTTCCAAGCAGCAACACACTCAGCTCATTTGTTAACAGCCCCAGGGGCTCCCAGCCAGAGAGCAACTGCTTGGCTGATTAAAGCTAACCGATGAGGTCACTTCTGGCTGCATTTGTGTTGGATTTGGGTAGCCTCTCAGCTAATAAAATGCCTCCTTCTCTAAAAACAATTCAACAAACACAGAAGGCTTTCTCTCCCTGAGTGGGAAAGAGTCCACCTTACCTTGAAGATACATCTCTTCTCCTTCTGTGAACATCTGGTTGCATCTGCTGCATCGTGCACAGCTGGGGTGATAATGTTTGTCACCTGCCTGCAAGAGAAAAGGCAGGGACATTTAGCCGGCTCCTTGACATGGCTCCAGGCTCTTTTTTGGATTTAGAAGAAAAGAGAAGAAGGCTCTTTTTTGGATTTAGAAGAAAAGAGAAGATGCTGAGACATGGAACATAATTGACTGACCAAACTCCCCACAGCAACAGCCCTATAGTGAAAAAGCTGACCTCGACCTCGCTGGAACTAGAAAGGCCCGAAGGCCAGCTACTTGTACCTGCCACAGTGGGGCTGCCTTGCCCCTCAGGAGTCTTGGCTTCCAATTCTCTCCTGTCCTGGACTTGCCTGGATCATTGCCAGTTACACACCATATGCCTGAGATGAGTTGATGCCATCTCCCAAAAACCCCACCTCAAAAGCAGGAACACAGAAATTCATGTTGGAAGCTAATGTCAGTTTATATGAAAGCAATAAAAAATAAGTGATCTTTATACTTAATGTGTTCTTGCTTTCCTGGCTTAAACATGAGAAATGATAAAATCTACCCAGCATGCAGCAAGGCAAGAGACACCATCGTAAAAGACATCATTCACTGCTTTTTGCACAAAAGGAGCCCAAATTCTCTCCTAAGCCAAGCTCTTATGTTAAGAGTTTTCTGAGGAAGCACATTACTGAGGTAGCTCTGCATTATTCTCTGGCATTTCACATACTTAAATATGACAGATGTCATCACAGAAAGTGTTGACTACCCCAAAGCAAAGTGTCACTGGACACAGGGACAATTCTCTAGACAGGTGCCAAGTCACATTAAAGTCATGCTTCAAATGCAAGCTGGATAAAACCACGATACTTTCATTCAAGCTTAGCAAAAAAATTCTTCACCATCTAAAAATTATCAAATGTATTTTATCATTAAAACATTTTTATCAATCAACTATGAATTCCACCCCCCCCCCCGACTAAACCACATGCAAAGACAGCACTGAGAAAGTTATGGCTACTTCCTGCTTCTGAACCTGCGTGAAACCCCAACAGGAAATTAGAGGTCAGGTTGAGATTTCATTCTCACACCCTCCTGCAGGAACTACAAAAGCCCCTTGGCAACCAGAGCATGAGATGTTGTCAGCTCTTCAAGATGATCCAAGCCAGAAAGAAAGTTCTTTAAATTAAAGCTAGAAATGACATCTTTTCACTGGTGCCTGCCAGAAAATCCCAGAAAAGGTGTTCTTGTCCACTTGTTTTTCATTTTTTTAATTATTTTGTGTTTTTAAAAATTCATTCATTAATTAATTTGTTCTAATTTGTTGTGATAGCAGAATGCATTTAGATTCATAGTACACAAATGGAGCCCACTTTTTCATGTCCCTGGTAGTACACAAAGTAGAGCCACACCATTCGTGTCTTCATACTTGTACCTAGRGTAATGATGTCCATCTCATTCAGTCATGTGGGTGTAGTGGGTGGTAATTGCGGCAGGGGGTGTGAGAAGTAAGAGAAGCAATGAAGTAGCTCCTGCCCTGAAGACATCTGGTTTGGGGCTGGGGCTGGGGCTCAGCAGGAGAGCGCTTGCCTAGCAAGTGTGAAGCCCTGGGTTCAATCCTCAGCACCATATTAAAATAAATAAATAAATAAATAAATAAATAAAGGTACTTTGTGCATCTAAAAAAATAAATACTTAAAAAAAAAGACATCTGGTATCAAATGTAAGTGAAAGGAACAAGGAAGAAGACTTTAGTTCTAAACAGGCTGGCTCAGCTAGGACCTCAATACTGAGGTCCAAGTTGGTTTGGACAATCCTTGGATTCTCAGGGACAATGTAGGTGAAAGAATAAAGGGTCCTTGCTAGGAATCTGGTATAGTTTGCAGTAAAAAGTACACCCTTCAGTAAACTAAGAATAGAAAGAAATTTCTTTGGGCAGATAAAGTGTCTTTATCATATTTAATAGTAAGACATTAGAAGTACACTCATTAAAGATAGAAACAAGACAAAGTTCACCAATACCATTTCTACATTGTTTGGGTCTTAGCTAATGTGAAAAGTCAAGAAAAATAAATAAATATAGTGATTACTAAAGAAGAGTTCAGTTAAGTGACTGGATTAAAAAATCATAAAAGGGCTGGGGATGTGGCTCAAGCGGTAGCGCGCTCGCCTGGCATGCGAGCGGCCCAGGTTCGATCCTCAGCACCACATACCAACAAAGATGTTGTGTCCGCCRAGAACTAAAAATAAATAAATAAATATTAAAAAAAAATCATAAAAGAATTATTTCCTATCCATTAGTAATAAAAATTAAATGTAATGGGAAAACAGGTCTTCGTTTGTAATAGCAACAAGTAAACCCTCCAATGTAAGATCTGTATAAAGATGCAGGGTGTGGTGGCACATCCTGTAATCCCAGCAGCTCAGGAGGCTGAGGCAGGAGGATTGAGAGTTCAAAGCCAGCCTCAGCTACTTAGTGAGGTGCTAAGCAACTCAGTGAGACCCTATCTTTGAATAAAATAAAAATAGGGCTGGGGATGTGGCTCAGTAGTCCAGTGTCCCTGAGTTGGATCCCTGGTATCCCTACCAAAAAAAATCTGTATAAGGAATAAATTACAGAGCTTAACTAATGGATATAAAAGGCCTAAATAAAAACATGTAATATTTCTGGATGGGAAAATTAAATATTATGAAGATGTTGATTTATTTAAAATGAACCTGTTAATGCAATGCATTTCTAATAAAAATTCTCAGAGGAGTTTCCTTTGGAAACTTTGCGGGGAAGGGGGAAGCCGTAGGTTTCCTTGTCATATGGCTTTTCCCCATAAGTTCCTATGGAAGAAAAAGAATGCACAAAAATACAAAGACATTTTTTCAAAAAGAGAGCACCAAAGAGAGGGAATTTTCCTTTCCTGATATAAGATTATTTTCTAAGGCTAAAATAATTAAAGTATTTAAATATCAGCGTTAGGGGGGAAAAATCAATGGAACAGAAGACCTGTTTTATACTCATACATACAAAAGAATTTAGTTTGTTAATTTTGATATTTCAAATACACTAAAAGAATAGATTATTCAATAAATGATGATGATAGCTTAGTGGTAGGGCACTTGCCTAGCATGTGGGTTTGCTCTCCTGCACACCAAAATAATATCAATAAATAATAATAATAAAGTGATGAAGACAATTGGTTCTCCACTTACAGAAAGATAAATCTAGATTCCTAAATCATAACTACACAAAAACAAATTTCAAAGAACTTATAAAACTAAAAGTAGAAACAAGATTAAAGCAGTATAAGAAGAATATATAGAAGGCTTTTTCAATAAATGTGGGATAGGAAGGCTTTCCTAAGCAAGGAAAAACCCACAAATAATAAAGACAAGTACTGACTAATTAATGCACAAAACCCAAAAATCTCTATACATAAAGTAAGAAGACAAATAACAGAAAAATTTTTTTGCCACACATTTCAGGCAAAGAATTATTCAGAATATATTTTAAAAAATCCCTATAATGAAATAAATTAATGGCATATGAACACAAGGGAATTTTCAGAAAAAAATGTAGATTATCCAAAAAAATAAATAATTTATTTAACCTTATCAGTAATCAGGGAAAAACAGCTTTGGCGGGGGGTGGATCCATCAAATTGGCAAAGACTAAAAAAAAACACAGTGTGAGGAAGAAGGCATTGTCACACTGTTGGTGACCCAAATCCTTCCTGGAAGGCAACTTGGTCATGTCTATTAAGATTTAATATGCACATGCCCTCTTACCACAATTCCATCTCCAGGAAGAGATCCTGCAGTTTCCTACATACGTGCCCAAAGGTGTAGGCACTAAGGATAATCAGTAATATCTCATTTACAACAACAACAACAAAGAAACAGAACACAACCCAAATAAGGAAGAAGTTAAATGAAATGGTGAATCTTATGTAACCCCTAAAAAAACAAACACTCCTTACATACTCACACGGACAGAGTTCAAACAAATATTTGGAGTTCACACTAATGATGCTAATGGGAAAAAAAGCAGCAAAAACACTGCCTATTACAGAGCCCTACATAAAGTAGTGGCAAAAGCATGGTGAACTGAATAAGTATGCTCACAATTTTCAGCATCTACGTCTATCAAATGGGTGGAAGAGTTGCAATCACCTCCTAGAGTCAAGGAGAGAACTATTAGGACCCTAACATCTTTCTTGGTGCCATGATAAGTGCTTGAAAATACTTACATGAACCCCTGATCAGTCCTCCAAGGCTGGCAGTGTTGCCATTTTTCATATGAGAGGGACATACTATGTGTATATGGTTTTTTTATGAGTATCCAGGCATGGAGAAGAGAGAAGAATGTCAACCAATTAGTGTGCCATGGTTACCTCTGGGGAGAGAGGTAGGAATGGGCAAAGAGCAGCCTTTTGTATCATCTCAGCTGCTGACAACAGGAATGTGTTTTCATGTTACTCTGTAATAGGACCTAGAGGCAAGAGCCCATGACCCCTAGAGTCACAACACCTGGGCTGGAGTTTTCACCTCAGTCTGTACTGAAATACCATCATGGGCAAATCATAGGCTCGGAACTTCTATTGCAGAGAAGAGATGATACTAATAAAAATGAACTTTTTATTGGGCTTCTTGGTGTCCGTTACTGTTTTACATACTTCATAAACATTTAGTGAATCTGCCTCGATCACCTGAGGCGGACAGAACTGTGATTACCCCTACCTGACATATGAGAAATCTTGACATATGAGGTCTGGAGAGGTTTAGCAACTTGCTTGTGGTCATGCAGTTAGAAGTGGAGGGTATGTTCTTCAATAGTATCAATAACCGTGCAATACTCCACCGCTGTAACTGCCTTACATTGTCACTGGATGAAGAACTGAGTGACATTTTGAAAATGGTGTGATGTACTGCACATAATAATAATGATGATGGTGGTGGTGGTGCATATGACAATCTACTAGCTCTCTGTGCAGAGATGGTCTCAGGGCCATTCCTAAGACTTGTGAGTATGGCTATACAGATGCCACCTTTCCCAAACATAGGCATAGGAG